GAAGTAAGATCGATATGCTAGGACCTTAAAGCATCCTACCTAACGTGTGGTATTGTATTGTATTGTACAATACCTACCTAGACCTTGTAGGAGGTAGGCATGTACTTACACAACACCAGCTGAACCACTTAAGTTTGGGTTCACTAGTCGGCCAATAGAGGGATGTTGATCATCCGGCTTTGAAACATCGACAGCTCATCAGATACGTGATTTCACTTGGGCCTCAGAACAGACCACCATGCAGACATCTTCCCCCGCGATATCATTCATCTTCCACGTGGGAGACAGGGGGGTCGAGCGAGATATCTCCCCTGAACACCCGTCACTGCTCGTTCAACAAGTGGTCCGAGCATACGGGCAAGATGCGTCAAACGGCGACGGACGAGGCGGTCTGATCATCGGGCACGATGGGAATCGTTACAAGTGCATGCTTGCCACGCATATGTATGTGTGGGCAAGTGAGTAAGCCAGCCTTCTTCGAGACGGGAAGTCGATACAAGCGTGCATTGCCGAACCTACTTTCACGCGAAGTTAAACATTTTCATACTAGTCTCCGTACAAAGTTGACCCGCATATGATGACATCCCACACTTTGACTGTCGTAAAAGGGCTGAATAGGTAATTGTTTTTGCGTGCTCGTGATGTATCTACAACCCTATCATCGCCAGCGACTACCTATATTATAGGTACCTATGGCATCAATACGTTGTAAAATACCGAATTATTTATCCATGAAACTACTAGGCCCTTTGTGGACGTATTCACATGTAACAGATAGAAGAGCTACGCGTCCCCTAGGCCATGCCATGCCATGGCTCAGGTCCCAAGCTCAAGACCGCAAGAAGAGGTATTCCGAGCACACCCTCTTTCCCATTGTCTCGGAGCTGACGTACCGCGCAACCATTGATCTACTGGCGATATTACCACATAGGGCCGGGATTGTGGGGGATACGCGAGGGTTAAACTTGTCTTAGTGTGCGGCGTTAACCTCGTCGTAAATTGATATCACGTCTGACAGGTACAAGGACTCGAACCACCATGGTTAGGCTTCGTTGGCACGGACCATAAGATCTCTAACGATAGTATTGGCATTAAATAAGAGCTCTTGACAAAGACCCATCTTACCTTACCCTATTCCTCGCGCAAAATTACCCATCTCCAGCTTAGCTATGCGCCAACCCCTTCTGTTATAGTCACGCGGCCACTAAAACTGACCAAAGGCGTCTATCGACTGCAGTTTGCGGTCGCTCTGACAGGTACGAACTAGTAAATGACGATCGCCCCTCACCCCCCATCGTGAATCTGAAGTGGTGGGCAGCACTCTATTATCGCGTCAAGGGCACATAACAGTAGCAGTGGGGGCTGTTCTGGCAATGATGCAGTGTATACACTACGCAGTCACACATGCATTACGAAGTGGTAATAATAATAGTAGGTAGTAGCAGTAGGTAGTAGTGGTTGCGAGATGCTAAGTGGCTGAACAAGCCACCGTCGTATTTCGAAACTCAATAACAAATACCGTCCAGGTGCATGATCGGCGCGGACCCCAAGTCTCGTTATCATACGACGCGGAACGCAAGGCCGATGTGGGATCGCACCATGGTTTGTGATGAGGGGAATAGAGTGGGATAAGGTGCCCGAAAGGCGAAAGCTGCCGAGGGAATCCGACGCTCTGGGATGCCAAGCGTCTTGATCTACAATCTTGCGACACACGTGTCCCTGGCGGCACAGTCCCAATGGTATGCGACAAAAAGCTGGGCCTGAAATGCAGCCAGATAAACTTGATGAGGGGATATCAGCCGTAATGACGGAGTACTCGACACCCTCCCTCGACCAATCCATTATCTCGATCTACTCCCCGATCCTCCAATAGAAGGCTTTCCCAAGGAGCGTACTTCCCATACTAGCCATACAGCCATGCTGATGATGTGTGTCACACAAGTCAGGGCAGAGAGGGGCAAGATCATAATAATTGGAAGACTGCAAAGAAGAAGGTGGGTAGAAGACGGTACGGCACCGTTTAGACTGGTTTGGTGATACCTACCTACCTCCTCTTCTCTGCTTCTCCTTACCTAACCTCTCATTCCCGTACCGTCATACCTATCGCCATCGCCATCCCAAACGGATATACGGAGTATAATCTCCTGGGGATCGCGCAAACCAGTTAGTGAAACACCGACGTGGCCGAAAGTCCCTTAGATAAATTTCCCTATCGTCAGCTGATGAACACCACCTCGTAACATCGGTGCTGTTAGACCCTGTCCTCTTAAAGCAAACCCTGGCTTCAATATCCGATAGCTTCCTAGATCGTAACAATGAGAACAATATGTCGTCAGTACCTAGTGTAAAAAGAGAGAGGATACGAGAGAGATAAAATCCTGTACGGCCCGCACAAACCCCAGCTCCTCGGATTTAAAACCCCTAGCAACAAAAAGGCAAAAAATTAGGCGAGTAAAAAAAGATTCATGTACTGTACATACGGACCATCTTACGTAGCAGTGCAGACAGGCTGAGTAGAACCCCAGGGGTTTGCCGCACACAAACGAAGGAGGCTGACGAATCAGTTGCTTTCAACCTGTTTGAATGCAGTTACTGACATACTATACCATGCCATACACATAACACATATATACACTACATACCTCATGTATAATGCTGGCTCAGCCCAAGCCTGTCAGCATCTAAACGCCACAACTGGACTTAGTTGCTTACAACATCATCAAGCACAACGCACGTAGGCGATATAGGCTTACGCGCGTTTGTTTCGAAGTTGCCGTTGGACGGGGATAGCGGACGGACGGACGGCCGAGCAGGTTTAACGCGCGCAAATCCATGGAGATACCTACCAAATTACTTGTCTGAGCTGTTTGCTGACTTGGGTTTACACTATCTACACGGCTAAACTCAGAGTAGAAGAGCGCTTACGAGGGGGGGCGGGCGCGCGTTGTTGACTCAGAATATTTACCTAACACTACTAAGGTACCTCGTCTACCTCCTAGTCGTCTCTTCGTATGCACTCCGTCGCAAACCGGGGATACGCATATCCGATTCATGGGAGCCTAGGACTTGGTACCCCGTCCGGGGTTTTGGGCTTTGCTTTTGGCTTGCGGGACGAGGGATTCGTTGGCGTTGGAATACGACAATGCGAGGGTAAAAAAGCGCCCCCAACTTTTTATTAATATTTAATATTTAATATTTTTTATTTCCCCCTCCGAACTACAGGTAGGTAAGTCTAATCCCGCAGATGCATCCATAGAAGGTAGGTACCTACATACATCTTACGACCAGAGAGCAACCCCTAGCCTGTCTTCTCCGGACAAACACGGAAACCTGAGGCACGAGACAAACACCGGCCGCGGGGACATCTTGCAGACCGGAGGGGGTTGTAACAGGCCGTAAAGGCGACCGCCCTGTTTGCTGTCTAGGTAGGTACCTAACCTAACCTAACCTAACCTCAGACCAAGTACAATACATATTACACGTTTACCTGGATATCGATCTGGACCTTACATATGTGTATTTGCTAACCACGTTACAATTTAGGCGCTCATCAGAGAGACCATCTTAGAAGAAAAATTGTCCGTAAAATTGATACGTCGCATACATAGACCTGCATACGGTAGCTTCCACATTAGGATGTTAAGAGAAAAAAAAAAATAAAGAATCATTTAGAAAAAGCCGTGGTTCCGTTCGTGCATCAAGTTATTAACAAACCATTCGATACTATTGTCTATTAGAGGCCACAAAGTTCTAACCATTGTTTTCTATTATTCGACTATTATTAGCAAGGACGAGACCGTACCGTATAATAGTTCTCTCTTGGCACGAAGCGATTCGATTCCAAAGCCGTGTTTGATTAATTTACAGAGCCCCGTTGATTCTTCAACATATGCATGTATGTATGTATGTTGGTGTAGGTTCTGCATTGCTTAATGGCATAGTTCTCATTGTCAAGCCATTGGCGAATAGGAAGTGAAGCGATGGCAGACGACGTCTTACTAAGTTCTAAAAATGAATGGTTATAGTTCCCCCTATACTTGACTTACACTGCCCTTGTCTTCAGGAGTTTGTTCCGACATGGTACTTGGAATTATACTTGCCTACCTAGAGCACTGAATAATGTTGCCTTGGTTAACTAACTCCTCGGAGTTGCGGAAGTAGGAAAATACTGACCCCAAAAAGCTACTCCTTGCCTAAGTCGAAGGACAGATTACTCTGCGTCTCCTTTTTAAGCCCAACTCCCTTTTTTAATGTAGAAAATCTAGTAAGTATTATATCTATAGGTACCTATACGTAGGAGGTAGCTTATAGTGTTAGGTAGGGTTACTGTTCAAGGCTCTTCAAAATACTGTTAACTATATTTTATTGGCCTGTATTGTTAGCTTCGAGTATATCCAGATCCAACGAATTTCAGCTTTTTTTTTTCTCGTTATAGTCGCTTGTGCAGTGTTTCTCCGCGGTACTAATTTTTGAACTGGAATTTATCTATAGAGGTACCTACCTAGTTTGGGAAATAGAAGCTTCTCCCATAAGCCATCAACTCCGATTTCAAGCTAAGTGTGCCTAAGACTGGATCCGGAGTTGCGATTTAGCCACTAGAAATTTTCTTCTTTTGAACAGATGTAGATTAATTCTATTTTAGACGGAAGTAAGTTTAGGTACGGATCTTCGCATGTAGAGTACTATGGGTTAAAAATAACTAGGCCCCCTTTTTTCGAGATAACTCGGATCACGATGGTTCTCTACCTACCCCTTTCCACAAACTACCGTAGGAATAAAAGGACTATGTGTTTTTGCCACCTTCAAGAGTCTTAGGCCAAGAGTTGCCTTCCATGTACTGTAAATCCGATCCAATCAAATTCAACAATATTGTCTCTGAATGAGAGTTCTGATTAGAGAAACAGGGAAACCCTCAAATCACGGCATATAGGGGTTGGGGGCTAGATAAGCGGTGTAGTTCAACACTTTAGGATTTCTGTATAGTATTCTGCATCAAAAAATTGTAGTTCTCAAATGGGAGTCTTGATTGCTTAGTCTATCTCATAAAAAGGGGCTGGTGTACCTGTCTTGCATATACTACGTGGCATAAAAAGGTAACTACATTGAGGTAACATGTAGGAAAATCTATGAGGTCTTCATACTTTTGGGGACGTAATATGATGAGTTCCACCTTGAAAACAACATAGTGGAATACTTGAGTATGCTTTGGTCGTGTTGCACCGCAGAAGGATCTGAGTTTGTTTTTTTCTTGAAGACCGACAATTAATGGATGATTTCAACGGCCTTTGTTTTGAGCCCGCATACACACCGTATCAAGAGATCTGCCATTTCTCTACGATGATATAGTCTGTCAAATAGATTGCTCTGGAACTACATGCGACCGCCTGGGTCTAGTAGGCTACCGCAGATATGCGATGGCAGATATTAACTAAAGAAAATCATGGCTGTCGACTGGATCATATAACCCACGTGGTCAAAGTTTGAGGATTAGAGGGTAACGTGCATAAATGCTACCGCGACAGCCGCGAATCTGTTGCGGGTACTGTTCACGACATGTCTGCGCCCGCCGGTACTTGGGTGGAAATGATAAAGTTTTCCATCATGGCCTGGCCTCCGCCCCCATGTTTCGTCGCATGGATTCCGCCCGTACCCGACGTCCTGCCGCGTCCCGCAGGTTGGGGGCCGGCGCCGATGTTACCTTCGCGGTGCTTGACAACGAGGCACAATACACGTCCATAGATAGAAAATCCCTCGTACGAGATGTCCATAGCCAGTTTTTTCTTATCATCGTCGTTCTCGACATTGCTACCCTCCGGCAGCGCTGGTGCCTCCCCTCTGCGTTTCTTGGCCGGTGGCGGCCGCGTGCTAGCGTCGTTATTTGGTTCATCCTCCTCCTCATCATGATCATCATCAACGAATAGGCCGTCATCCTCACCGTCTTGGCTATCAGATAAAATCTCCACATCATTGGTTTGTTGATCATTTACGTCGCGATCTGCGTCTGCGTCTGCTTCTGTATCTGCATCTGTGTTCCTGCGGCCGCGCTTGGGTCGCCTGCCGCTGCTAGTACCCGTCGCGGTTTCGTCTACCGCCGGAATGGCGGCCAAGGTAGCAGCGGTATCTTCATTGTCGCTCTCTTCATGCCTAATTTGTGGACCAAGTTCTGTTGTAGCATCGACGTCGATAGGTGCATCGTTCATCTCACCAATCAGACGACCCGAATTTGATGTAAGTCTTGTTTGCGTGGTGTCATGGAAGTGCTTATGTTTTGTGAGGAGCGCGTGGCGGGTAGCAGTCTCGGTGAGGAATATGGATACCTCGAAATCATCTGTAAGGTGTTACATACTGTGGGACAGTCTAGGTACTCTCTCTCTCTCTCTCTACGTTTTTGAGTTTGTTGTAGGTGATGATGATGGCATTGAACAGCTGAGCTAGATACCTCTAACCTAATACACAGAATCCAGAATACGGAATACGGAATCTATGTAATGCAGACTCACCTTCGACCACTACATCCTTGATCCCTTTCTTCTTGGTACTCTTTTTTCGACTTCGTTCTCGCTCCTCGCGCAATTTGGGTAATACAAGCGGTCTCACGCTCTCGATAACTCTCGTTAATACGGGATTTCTCGGGTTAAGGAGCCAAGTATGAACAAGTGCAGGGTTGTCAAGGTATATGCGGCATTCTAGTACCGAATATTTGGTTATGCGGAGGTAACGGCGGATTGGCGCCATGGTAGGATGGAGCGTGACGCATTTCGCAAAATGAAATTGGTGCCTGAAAGGTTTGTTTTTATTATTAGATAAAATGTAGGGGAAATGTATGTAATCATCTAAGATGAAAGCCGTGAATGAGATGATCTCATTGAGATCAACTCCCTCTCCTTCTTATCGATAATGATTGATAACAAGAAAGCAGTATGTGGCTGAGGCTGGGCTCAGTCTGTCCTCAGCCACGTGCCCGGAAGTGCATAGTGGGTATTACTGAGTTTTGGTGGGAGGAGCCCACTCGTTAGAAAACGTTCCTAATACAACTTCAGTGCCTAAATGATTTGCAGCTTCCTACGAATATCCTTAATAACTATATGCTTTACTAGATTTGAGAGTAATTATTCCTACTGATACAGCTTCCCTAGGCTGTTTAAAAGTTTATATGAGCTGTATTCTGCTACCGTAGTGATAGGGTCGCGGATGCATACCTTAGCTTCTTTACAACCCTCGTTCTTCTGAATAAGCACGCATATCCTTCATGCATTTTATATATATTCTTTTAGCCTTGCGTTCGTACTTCATTAGCAGTGTTTGCCGTCTTCTGGTTCAGGTAATACCTGGAAATATTCAAAGTTAGCACGCAGGCCCTCTTACTCGCATAAGCAGCGTTAAAATGGCGTAAAATCATACTTTTAGTGGTTATTCCACGGCGGCGAATAATTTATATGGTTCGAATATGCGATATTCTTAATCCTGCACTAACCTTTGGTATTGAGACCAGGCTCCATTTTGAACGGGTCAAAAGCGGAATATTCTTCCCCCAATTTCTTGAATAGGGGTGGTCACGATATGGATAGGCATCTTCCCGACTCTGACGAAATAGGCCGAACCCCCTGGGAACCACGGCCAGATATATTGTTAACAGTAAACCCTGGTAATTAGGTGGCCTTTGTAGCAATCAGCTCTCCTATTCCTGCAATCGGGACTCCGCTCATAATCTCAAATACTGCCACAGTTGCACCGAAATCTCTTCGGATCCAGTTGCGCAGCTCGACTGCCATCAATGAGTCGACTCCATAATCCGACAAGCCTTTGCGGGCATCTACCTCCTCAATTTCCACGCCTAATGCTCTAGCGAGTTTGTTCTTCAGGGCGCTGACAACGACGGCACTACGTTCCTGAGATGAGCTGGCCTGCTTAAACAACATTGACGGGTCGAGGTCTGTTGACGGCCTTGATGTAGCCACAGCGGCAGCGGCATGCCTGCCATTACTGCCTCGCGGGATGTATAAGCCCTCAAACCCGGCTACCAGCGGTCTTGTCAGGAACGCCGGGATTTCCTCGCCCTGCGCTCGGAAGTGGCCTGGTATGACGGCCCCGACAAGGACCTGGCTCTTTCGTTCCCTAGCCTCGGCATCAGGGTCACAGAAATGTTGTAGCAGCGCGACAAGATCCTCTTCTTCTACTGGATCCATGTCCCTCGATTTCTCTCGGTGGCGGCGGTAATCTGCGCGCTCAGCAACAATGCCAATTGTCCGCATCCATCCCAGATCGAGCGCCACGGATGCTGGGTGGCCAGCTAGGGTACGGACGTATGCCAAGGCGTCCTGAAAGGCACACCCGGCGGCATAGTTGGACTGTGCGATGGGTCCGTAAACACCCGCAAGAGACGAGAGGAGAATGAAAAAATCAAGATTGCTGGGGAGCAGAGTGTGGAGATTCCAAGAAGTGTCAACCTTGGACTGGATAGTTGTCATCCATTGTATGTGGCTCATGTTCTCGAAGATGGCATCCTGCATGCACACTAGTCAGTTACGAATATTCTATGTTGTTAAGGAAGGGTATAAACAGCATACTTGAAGTGCCATGGCAGCATTGATACAGCCGCGGATTGGAGGCAATGTATTTTCACACTCTTCAAGCAATGCCGAGAGATCTGCGGCTGAGGACACGTCGCAACGGCGAGTTATTAAGCGAATGCCTTTGCTTTCAAGTTCTGCCACGGTTTTCGCGGCTTCATTAGAAGAGACCCCCGATCTGGAGGGGACGATCAGGGTCTTAGCACCTCGTTCTGCCATCCAACGGAGAATGAACCGGCCGAGGCCTCCAAACCCGCCAACAACGATATACGAAGCGCTGGTGTCGAACTTCCAGTCTTTTTTGCGGATTGAGTATGCCTGAAAGAGGTATCAATTACCGACACTTCTTGGACACGTTGGGCTGCATAAAGGGGCTTCTATATCTTACCGAAACTTTATCTGTCTGTCCCATGGTGACGACAATTCTCCCCATGTTCCTCCCGCTCTGCATATTTCGGAATGCCCCCTCGATTTTTCCTACGGGGTATAAATTCAGGGGACCCGGAGTTGGAATTTGCCCGTTCCCTACTAACTCTAATATCTTTGCGATCAGAGCTCTCGTCAACTTCGCGTTGGATAGTGAAATAGGAAGCAAGTCGACAGCCGCGAAGCTCACGTTCTTCACGAATCCAGCCATAGGAAGGGCCGAGTTCCTGCTAATGTCGACCTTGCCCAGTTCGACAAATCGTCCATACGCTGCTATGCACTCCCAACTCGCTCGAAGACCGTCACCTGAGAGGGAGTTGAGAACAACATCGACACCGCGCCCGCCTGTTACGCGCAAAACTCCACGCGCGAAGCTATTATCGCGGCTGTAAAATATATGGTCATCGGGAATACCGAAGCGGTCTATAAGCAGCTGCTTCTTGTCGTTGAAGCCGACCGTGGCAAAGACCTCGGCACCCAATAGCCGTTGCGCTATTGCGACGGCCATCTGGCCTGTACTGCCGGCCGCCGCGTGGATTAGGATCTTTTCACCAGGCTGCAGCCGTGCCACGTTGACAAGGGCATGATAGGCTGTCATACCGGGATTTATGGCCGAGACAGACTCGTAGAGCGAGAGTCCGTCCGGCACCTTAAGCACCGCGTGTGCGGGGCCCCGCGGATGGCTCCGCATGCACCCTGTCGCGACCATGACCACACGATCCCCTACATGCAAGCCGTACTCTACAGGGCAGTCGGGCCCAAGACGTGTTATGGTGCCTGCGCTCTCAAATCCCAAACTCTCTTGAGAGTCGAGGCGGCCCAAAGCGATCAAGACGTCGCGGAAGCTGACAGGCCAGGCTGCCGCTTCAATCTCGACCTCGCGAGCCTGGAGGACGTCAGGCCGTACAGGGTCGTCCGGGATGAATTTGAGAGTATCCAGCAAGCCTGGAGTCCCCACACCCAGCTTTAAGCGTGGCCCGGGCTGCCATCTCCGTGGTCGGACACGGGGGACAATGCTGTCAACACGCTCTTGGTCCAGCTCTAACTCTCGGGTCAGCCTTCCGACGTGCAACTTGCCGTCCCGCACGATAAACTCCAGCTCTGCCGATGCTGGCTCGTCCACAAAGCACGACTGTAAAACTTGAGCTGCATAACTGGCTTCGCTTCTAAGCCCGCCGGATTCAATGGTGACGGAAACAATGTGTTTGCTGCTCTCCTCGGTACGGATACCCCGGAGGAACCCGGCGGCTATCGCGTATTGTGGGGAGAATTTGTTGGGATATACCGGTGATGTTAGCCAAAGCAAATTTTGTACGCGTTGAATCAGCGCGCGGATTGCTTGAAAGTTTGATTCAGATATGCTGGCGAGAAAGGTCGCGCCAACTTCAAGCAGTGACACAACCGTGTCGGTGAGTGACGGCTTCCACTCGTTCCCCGTAACGTATTCTAAAGAAATGATTCGCGAATGCGGATATTGTTGTCCAATAGCGGCTGCGACCTGTCGCTGTACAGCAGAGTCCAAGTCGATGAGAATATCTAATTTAGGCTTGGAACCGGTTGGCGTTCCGTTGCATTGATATGTTCCCAATCCCCCGTTTGGGCGCGGGTATCTAGCAACCGCCGTTGAAATGACGATGCTGCTGAACCACGCGCCTTCGATTTGTGAATTCTTCAGAGTCAGGTCGACCCCAGAAAAGCCTGTTTCGCACAGAAGCTCACCCCAACGCTCTAGCGTCACCAGGGGTGTGTGCCGCCGCCACTCCTCCGTCCCCATCCACCAACCCTCCAGCAGCCCAAATCCTACGTTAATACAGGCGCTCTGTGGCGCCGTTATCTCTTGCAGCAAAAGGTGTCCGCCGGGTTTTAATAACTTGCGGACCCGGCCCAGAGTGGCCGCGAGATCAGCGGTTGCGTGTAGAACACTTCCTGCCACAACAAGGTCATATTGGCCTTCGGAGCTCTCGAATCCTGCTTGTTCTACCGACTCTTTCTCCAGGTCAAACGTCCGGAAGACAATTCGATCCTCTTTGGCCCCATTATGGGTTTCAGCCGAGACGAACTCCGTCCTAGCCACTTCGAAGAAAGCCGGCGAGATATCTGTGTACACGTATTCGCTGAACCTTTTTTTTTGAGAACCGGTCCCTTTTTCCAGATTCCACAGAGCGTTCAACATCAGACGTGCCATGCCGCCTGTGCCTGTGCCAACCTCTAAGATGCGCAAGGTTGGATTCTCGTGCGTGAGCAAGTCCACAAACGCCTTAAGCCGCCCATCGTGGCCGTGATGGCGGAAGAGCAGGTCGTAGAAAGACTCTGCTGCCCCTGTGGAGAAGAGAAGGTCCAGTGGGTCCGTCTTACCGCGAAGGACAGATGGCAAGGCGCGCGCGACGAGAGGTAAGACACGGCACTCCGGTAATTCTGTTTCGCATTCTTGGAGCAGCCATTCGAGTGCCGGTCCGGCGACTTTCTCATCGAGTTCCCGATTTTCGACGATGTGTCTGAGCAAATACGCATATTTACGTATATGGCCGGGGCTCGCGGCGATCTCTTCGGGCGAAACTTGCTTGAGAGCGTTGCGTGCGGCCATGCAGACCGCCATTTCCGCCCGAAGATACACTTTTCCCAGTCTATCAGGGGTTGAGCTACCTTCACCGTCACTTGAAGCAGCTGCGTCGCGCAGCACCGTCTGTAGCTCTGTCGCGCTCAGTGTGCTCAGCTGCGACTTCCACGCCACGGTGTAAAGCAGAGGCCGGCCTGCATTTGTCTCGTCCCTGATGGTAGGGGATAGTCTAGCCACTTCAGCCGCAGCGAGATGTTCCATATCACAGAGCGGCGAGCCATCGTCACTCAACGCGTATACGGTGCCCTGCACGCCTGTTGAACCCCCGGAGCCGTCGTTGCGTGCCATGAAGCTCACTCTCACAGATCGTGTTGACGCATGCCAGACTCGAGCAGAAAACCACGCATTGGCGAGCCGCTGCGGCACTAGTGTCGATACGGGACTGGTGAGCCCCCGGGATACTTGTACAAAGATGAGTTGCATCAGTGTGTCGAGAATGGCCGGATGTACAGGGCTCTGAGTCAGCTCTCGTAGTTCCACCGGGATTTGAGCCATGTCGACACGAGCGGCTGCAGTCATGTGCCCATCCCAGGCAATGCTTGTCAGTAAACGGAACGACTCGCCATACGCGTTACCATGGTCGCATGTAAAGTCGTAAAATGCCTGGCTGTCGACAGCTAACGAACATGAGTCTTCAGCCCGGCGCCCGGTGTCGTGGATACGCTGCTGTTCCAGTACTTTCTCGCGCCCTCCGTCCACCTGGGCATGTGGCTGGTTTGCATCCTCGTGCTGGAGTTGGACGTCGGCCCGAAAACACTCCGTCCAGATGTCCTTGGAATATGAGAATATCCTAACACCGTACCATGTCGATTCTTTCTCATGTGGTTTCTGGATTGGATCCAACCTTAATTCGGTCTCGGTAGCATCTGCCGCTGTCTCGCCCACAACAACCGGAGAAATAAACATGGCAGTCTTGAACATGATGCCCGCGATGGCGCGTCTGTTTGTGGTCGAGGATGCTACTTGGTATACGGCTTCGATGGCCATGACCAGCATGCCTGCTCCAGGTAAGATGGTTGTGCCGCTGACCTTTGGGATACGTGGCGTCGGTTAGCGGATGCAAAGAATGGATAAGGAACAGGGTAGAGGAGGCTGTACTCACGATGTGATCAGCTAGCCAGGGAATTGTCTCAATGGACAACCAATTCCTCCACCTAGGCTGTAGCGGATTCCAGTCATGCGCCTGTCTTCCAAGAAGGTATCCTGGAGAGGACTGCCGGAATCGGAAGCCTTTACTGAGCCGCGGTTCGTGCCAGTAGCGCCGGGTATGGTCAAATGGATACGGTGGACAGTCGACTAAAACTGGCAGCTGCCCCTTAGTATGGCCATTGGCAGCCATTATTGACAACGGCAGACCATTGCAGAACAAGCTTCCTAGCAGAGATAGTACAGTATTTGTTGGAGATTTCAGGCGAGTGAGAGCGGAGTGATAACGCTGGGAGGGAGCCGTACCGACCACCGAGCGCTTTAACGCGCCGTGCGGGCCAATTTCGACCAGATCAGTAACAGGGATGTTCTCGGTCAAGTGCCGGATTGCATCCACAAATCTTACTGGCGAAACAAGGTTATCGGCCCAGTACTGGGGCTTTGTGAGAACCTCACGTTCTATAGGCTTACCGGTAACGGAACTGATCATGGCGATACCAGAACCAGACAGGTTACTTTGCTCGTTGAGAGAGCTCATCAACTGGATGTATTCGACTGTGATGGCGCGCATGGCTGGAGAGTGATATGCAACACCCGTGTTAACTGTATGTGCAAAAACCCCCTCTTCATCCAGCAGCTCCTTCAGAGCGGCTATGTTGTTAGCCGGCCCAGATAGTGTAAGGTTGGTGGGGCTGTTCAGACAAGCGACGTGAATACCAGTAGCAGCGCTGCCGCCGCCATCGCGCTTTGATTCTACTCCCAGCTTTTCGAGATATGCAGGGATTTCTACTTCCGTCAGGTTGACAGACATCATTGCACCTGGTGTCTCCGTCGTCGAGCGAAGTTTCCCGGCAAGGAGCCCCCTGAAGTAGGCAACTTTGCAAGCCGATCTTCTCGATAGGGCTCCAGCAGCATATGCGGCAGCGATTTCACCGCTGGAGTGTCCAACTACGGCTACTGTACTCAACTTGAAACTTATGAGAAGATCGACCAGGGCTATCTGAAGGATGGTGCAAAGCAGCTGGCTAAGTTCTGGGTCGTGAATTCGATCCTGTTCACGGAGACCAACTGTGATCCATGCGCATAATTAGCCAGGATACCTCTTCCGACTGGATGTCTTCCCGAAAGAGTGACCTGCTTCTCTAGTATACGGAATGGACTTACAGAACACCGACTATCCACACCCGAGGTCAGCCAGAATTTCATCAGATCGTTCCAGACTTTCCTTAAAGATAGGGTATTGCAGCAGCTCCATTCCCATGCCCATGTATTGGGCCCCTTGTCCAGTAAATACAAGCGCGATTCTGGGTTCTCCAGGCGATACCCGTACCGGCTGGGATACAGGAAAACCTCTTGTTGTGTAACCAGCCCCTGAATCTTCTCCAATGACAGCAAAAGCACGCCATGGCAAAATGCTCCGCCTTGAAGCTAGTGTGTAGGCTAACTGGTCCAGCTTGTACCTATCGCCGGCGACATGAGCATCATGGTATTCCTGGTAAGCCGACAGCATGCGACGCAAGGCATTTGCATCTGCGGCGGTCCAGAGTAGGAGTTTCGCCTTTGGGCCTCCGGTGTGCTGGCTGTATTCTTTCTCACCTCTAACGTTATTTGGGTAATTTGATATAGTTGTCGTGTTGTTGTATGCAGGGGTGACATCGCCCGCGCTGGCGAGTGAAGCAGGCTGGACGCAGTGGTGGTAGCCATTCAACCCTCGGCTCCTCAAGAAATTCATCGGGTCGTCAAGGATTACGTGGGAATTAGAACCACCAGAACCGAAGCAGTTGACAGACACACGCCGGAGCCCAGGGACTGGCCAGGGAATGCACTTGGTGGGCACCTGCAAAATTTGTATCACTCAACCGGGCTAGACGGCGACGGCTGGATTGGGAGGAAAGGGAAATGGACACCTACCTCGACATTGTAGAACTCTGCATCGATCTCCGGGTTCATGGCCTCAAAAAGCGCTGTCGGGGGGATAATGCCCTTCTCAACTACCAAGATGGCCTTGAGGAGGCTGGCAAGTCCACTCGCTCCTTCAAGATGGCCAATATTTGGCTTCACCGTCCCGCTACTTCCATGTCAGAGGCTTTCTTCAGTTCAATTGGAGAAGAGTGGCCAAGACTTGGCCTTTGCTTACACATATAGCGGTTCCGAGGGAGACCTGGACGCCCTGAATACCTTCCCAATAGCCGTCATTTCGGTAGGGTCCACCAGTCGGCGTCCCAGTCCCTATAGAAGAACAAGTCAAAGTTATAAACGATCCTGCAAAAGTTGCACTAGAGCCCAAAGCACTTTACTCACCGTGCGCCTCGACGTATCTCGTGCTGGCAAAGTCAAGGCCTGCCTTCTCATACACATGTCGAATGAGAAGCTCCTGTGCATCCGCGCTCGGTTGCGTTAGCACGGGCGTTCGTCCGTCTTGATTGGAGCCCGATGCCCTGATCACCGAACGTATGACATCGCCGTTGTCGAGGGCGTCTCGGAGTGGCTTGACAACCAACGCCACGACCCCTTCTCCTCTCGCGTATCCGTTCGCACGGGCATCAAAGCTGAAGCATTTGCTATCTGGAGACAGCACATTCATGTTGGCCATGAAAAGCGAACTCTCGGGGCTTAGTAGAAGGTTAGATCCAACCACAAGGGCCTGAACCAGTATGGTCATCTTGTGTTAGCGTGCTATCGCCTCTGGGCAGCTATTCTTTACCGCCTTACGGTAGAACATGCCGAGTAAGAGTGAGGGAACATGCAGCAAAATTTAAAACAACTTGCACCACGGATGCTAACATACCATAGTTGCGTCTCCTCCACGCATTGCCTTGCAAGCCATGTCCAGCGCCATCATACTGCTCGAGCAAGCAGCATTGACGTGCATACTTGGCCCGCGCAGTTGGAAATGCCAACTCACGCGGTTTGCCAACAGAGATGGCGCTAATCCCTTGATTGCTTGCCGCGGCATTGCATCGGGGTCCTTGGTCAACATGTGCAAGTAATCGTCGAACATGGATGCTCCAAACACGCCCGTCAGACTGTCGCGGAGAGACTCTATGGGTATTCCAGCTATGGATGAGCGATACGAGTCAGCTTCTATAGATATCCTTACATCCTCCGTTATAGTGGGGGAGTGCGAGGATAGAAAGGGGATTCGCTGCTGGCAGCATCAAGGCGTAGCAGACACCAAACATCACAACACTTACCATTTTCAAAGGCCAGGTAAGAAGCTTCTAGGACCCATCGCTGTTGTGGATCGATTGCGGCTGCGTCCTTGGCCGTAATCGAGAAGAATGGCGCGTCAAATACGCCTGGGTCACCTTTGGTGAAATGGGCCCCGAGGGTCCGCAGCTGGAGGCATTTTCGTTAACACGGTTACGGGTTTAAGTATAAGATTTGTTTAACGAACCGTATTCGGCTTGTCTGAGGTTCCGTCGATGAACGAGTCAACCTTGGCGCGGTCTCCTGGCCAGGCGCTCATCAGGCTTCTTCGCTCCTCCATTACCTTCCAGAGGCTTTCGTCGTCAACGGCGTCCTGTGGCAGTTTGAACGAGAACCCAACGATGGCGAAAGCATCGTCTAAATCGTTTGGTGAGCCCATGGTCCCAGAGGATGGTAAGTTTGAGTACAGGGGCAGTACGGCAATGGAGAAGCTACGAATGTGTAGTTCGGGGAATGCTTTACAGTAAAGGGGGAAGACGCGAAAGGTCCCGATTCAATCCAGTGCCTTATCAACCATCATCTACCTCCAGAACGTAATCGGGCTAGATGCTTACCCTGAGTTCATAGACTCTCTACTCTCAACTGGCGTTGCCGATCTTCGGTGTGCGATTTCCAGCTTAGTTCAATAGAAGATGTCTGCGCCACACAATACTACTCCGACAAGGATTTGTTACGTTACACTGTGATATAAGAATAAACTGCCTTTCAAGTTATAAGAACCAACATCCTGCTGAGGCTCGCAACATGTTACACCATTATGTAGGTCAGCATCAGCAGGGTACGGCATTGAAGGTGGATAGTCGGACTTCCGCGCGGCGCGTCAGACGGGCGTACATAAAATAAAAAACTGATGCGCATCCCTTTAGCACGACCGACTGCCACTTAGTGAGATGCTTTCTTCTCTCCGGTTTGTTCTGACGTCCATCCCCCCCTCCTATTAGCTACCTACCTTAGGTACCTAACCTAGCTTTCCACTCACCACTATGTCCTTGGAAGATTTCCCACATCTGCCGTTCGAGGAGCAACAAGCCATTCTCCAAAGCGCCGCCCTGGAGCCGCCCCCAAACACAGTCTCGAATTTCGACAGTCCACCAAATGGCAACGCCCAAGGACTTTTCGCCGTTTTGTTTTGCGTCTTGCTAACGACATTGGCGGGCTTCTTGCACATACGCTCTCGCTTCATTCTAAAAACGGTGCGCGTCGAGGACTGTAAGCGTCTTAACCCACGACCCAGCCCCCCTTTACCCCTTTTTTGTACGCCGTTGCTGATACGACCTACGCGCATTCACAGACCTTGCTATTCTGGCATACGTACGTCCCTTATTGTCCCGAGATGCGGAATTCCTATGTGCCTTTACTTACTGCTATTCTCGCCGCTAGCTTGGCTTCCTGGGCTGCGCCGGCTGCCTTTTGGCCATCTATCATCTCTCGGGGTTCTATGTGCACCAGTGGGATGTCCGTTTGGGAACCTTCCTTAATATCGCTGAGGTTCGATATTCCCCCTTTTGTCCACCCCACGAGCCCCGGGACTACGTATGCTTGGCATGCTTATACTCACCGTCGTAGGTTCTCATCATCTTCCCTATCTGCTACTGCCTTACCATGATCTTTTCCAAACCGGCCATTCTCCTCGAATGGATTCGCATCTTCGTGCCGCACCACGAGCGTAATACATTTTACTGGGCGGCCTGGGTGCTCATCGTTATCAACGTGGCGCTCTATGTCTCTTCATGTATCGCTACTATTTTCAACTGCACGCCACCCAATAAGTCGTGGGAGCCATGGGTCGACGGCTTCTGCTCTGACCGAAGAGCGTTAGATGTGGGCGTGGGTTTCTTCAATCTCGCCATGGATGTATTCATTCTGGTTCTACCCCAGAGGGTGATACGGAAGCTCCAGATGACCAGGGCCCGCAGGATTGGCGTTACCGTCGTTTTCTCTGTAGGAGTGCTGTACGTCCCCGCTTTCATTCCTATCATGCTCCGGAAAAGCATATTGCTAACAGAACATATGCGTTTTAGTGCCTGTGGCTGCGCAGTCGGTCGCTTGTACTTCAACTGGGTCGCCGAGTACAGTGGCCAGGGAGACACTACCTACACCGTCAGCGCACTGTTTCTATGGGGTTATGCCGAGCTGGCGTGCGTCCTTCTTGTTTTCTTTGTGCCGTGTATTCCCAAAGCTATTGGTGACGAGCGCCTCCACAAGATGGCATCTCTATGGAGCAGCTTAAGAGGGAGCAATAAGCCGTCGTCCACGTCCAACAAAACTCGAACCTGGCCACGGACTATCGGAAACATATCAACACGATCCAGAGCATATCGAACCATGGCTCACTCTGAGCGGTCCATGATGAGCTCGTCAGAACTAGAGCTGGGTGACAGTACTACTACTGCTTGGGGACGTGGGCAGGGTAGTAGTGCCAGCATCAATGTTGAAGTGGCTTTTTCCCAGTCATCCGAGTCGGCAGCCGACACTTGGAAGTATCCGGCAACACGAACTATGGAGAGGCAGCATCCGTGAATGATATGTTAGGTTAGGGGATTACCCGGGAAATTGGAACAAAAGCACGAGGAAGAATTGTTCACTGGGTTGCCGTACGAAGTAGATACCCGCCTCGCCATGGTGGTAACATACGAGGTACCTATAGCTTAAGTGATTCCTACCTGCTCACATTTCCTATTGCCCACCTGTTGTAATTAACTGTTTCCTGGAGATGTTTGAAAGCGTGATGGGTACCTAATTTTGAGCTGGAATAATGGCCTATCACCTGGCGTGATGCCTAAACTTTGAGATTATTTTCGAAAAGGGGCGCAAAGTAGTCCCGTAGCTATAGTACACTAGGTACCTCTATCTTGCCTACCAGTCAGCTCCATCTTGCTACATACCGGGATCATGAGAAATACGGTACTGTCTTTCACCTGTCCTCTCACCTGTACTCGTAGAACTAACCGCTAAAGAAATCATCAGGCCCCGTAGTGAGGCAAGGCCCTGACCGGCTCGTCTTCAATACGCTCACAGCCCTACATGGTGAGCATACACTCCACCATCCCAAGCCTCTATCCCAGCCCCTGGCCCCTGATGAAATCTAGATATATACCTCAACCAACGGGTGACCAAAAGCAAGATCTATCTACAGTCACTCCTAAGCACCTCCACGCCCAGTATGTTCAACGCACTGGATAGGGAGGTGCATAGCCACAAGCGGCGGCTGGTAGGACAGCTCATCTCCGAGCGCTCAATGCGCGCTTTTGAGCCCACTATGACGTCGCAGATGGATATATTCCTCCGCCAGCTTCTTATCTCTAGCGAGAACGACGAGACGATCAATATGACAACTAGGTGTCAACGGCTAGCTGCAGATGTTGTTGGTCTGCTCGCCTTTGGCTACGAGCTGAACACACAGACGGCGGATACCAACATCATCATCCCCGATGCTATGAAAGCCAACAGTTATCGGATCAGCTTGTACATGACATGGCCGACTATTAGACTGATGGACCCCGTATTCCGATGGCTAGGTCGTAAGAAGACCCCTAAGTGGTATGTCCGAGGATGCGCTTTGTTCTTTAGCCCCCATTTTCTCGAAACCCTTCCGAATACCTAGCATAGCATTGCTAACTGGTTTCTAGTATGCAAACCTTCCCGTCATGATTCTCTTAGGATACATTAGGTAGCTAGCGATGACTAACCCACATGTTTTGATACGCCAGTCTTCCAGGTGCTCCGAAGCATGATCGGGCGGCGTATGAGCATGCCGCGAGACGCAGCGCACGATCTCTACGCCGTCGCATCAGGGGATATCACAACTAGTGGCGAGCGTGGCCTCCGAGGTACCGAGCTATGGTCAGAGGCGTCGTTCTTTATCATGGCAGGTGGCACCACCGTAGCAACGCTTATGAGCGCCATCTTCTTTTACCTCTCTCGACACGCAGACGTTTACACACGCCTGGCTGACGAGATTCGCACGGCCTTCTCCTCAGGCCAGGCCATCAAAAGCGGCCCGCAGCTGAGCTCGTGCAAATACCTCCGCGCCGTCATCGACGAGACCATGCGCGTTTCTCCCCCGACCACCGCAACGCCCTGGCGCGAGGAAGATATCTACTCGGCGACGCCGGCGCCCGCGCCGTCAGACGGGAGCCCGTTCCTCGTCGACGGCCACGCGATCCCGCGCGGCACGGCCGTCGGGGTCAGCCTGTACAGCCTAATGCATAACGCGGCGTACTTCCCGGAGCCGTTCGCGTTCCGGCCCGAGCGGTGGCTCGACGCGGACAGCGCCTTCGACGAGGCGACGCGAGCCACGATGCGTCGCGCGCTCGCGCCCTTCGCGCTGGGCGACCGCGGCTGTGCCGGAAAGGCCATGGCGTACCTGGAGACGAGCCTGGCGGTCGCCAAGGCGCTGTGGTATTTTGACTTCCGGACGGCCGAGGGGCCGGCGGGGCGTGTGGGGGGAGGGTCGCCTAGGAGAGGTTGGAGGGGTCGTGTGGATGAGTATCAGCTGTACGATATTTTTACGGCGGACCATGACGGGCCGAACGTGGTGTTTAAACCACGCGCTGGGGCGGCGGTGGTTAAGGGCGAGTTGGCATCGGAAAGCGTTGTGTAAGGGGTGGTGGTAGACAGTGTTTGAGAGGGATTGTCATACATAGTAGAAAATCATTGCAATGGTTGTTGTTCTAGAAGGTACTGACAAGTGTGTGTGTACTTATTGTCAGGTACCTATGTAAAGAAAAGATTATTATTAAATTATTTTTTTTACAAACAATCACTCATCAGTCATGAGAGCCACGTCCGTGGCACACTCACAGTTATGCACATATGTACTGGAAGTATATCATGCATTATGCAGTATCGATAATGATTGATAATGATTTGCCTTAGGTACCTCATATATGGCTGAATAAATCCACCATCTGTGGCTCAACATTTATTATCGATAAGTGTCTAGGGACCCCTAGCTGGACCAATTATTCCCATTTCCTCCTAGAAAAGTTCCCAAGAAATAGTAGACGCATTGAATTTTCTGAAGCGATAATGCTCTTATATTGTTAATTATAATAAATCGAATCTCTTAGTTTTCTTTTAAGCTAAGATCATGAACTTGATATTATCATGCAGAAATCATGGTCTACGACGCTGAGATTACCGAACTCTAAGTTCCCGTATGTAAATCGCTTTGAAAATTCTCATGCTCGAGCTGACTGTGAGCCAGTCCGAGACCTCTCCCAAGACTACGGGAGTTGTATATCCAACGATGTGCCGACGAGTTGTATGAGTGGCAGAAGGTCAATCGCCCTTCTGATAACATTTTTACAATTCACGATGGCCCACCTTATGCTAATGGTGATCTTCATGTTGGCCATGCCTTAAATAAGATCCTCAAGGATATGATTTTGAGGGTCAAAATACAACAAGGTTAGCAAGAGGACTGGAAAAGAAAATGTCTACCATACTCTCAAGCAACGCGGAACCTAACCTAGGGTACACGTAGGCCGACAAGTGGAATATACCCCAGGATGGGATTGCCATGGGCTTCCTATCGAGTTGAAAGCTCTCGAGAAATCTCAGGGGTCAGAACTAGGTCCCGTTGAAGTTCGGAAGTCCGCCCGAAACTTAGCGTCTAACACCGTCCTGAAGCAGATGAAAAGCTTCAGATCTTATGGTGTTATGGCTGATTGGGACCGAAGATGGACTACCATGGATGCCGCCTTCGAGATCCGCCAGCTCCGTTTGTTCCAGCAGATGGTCAAGAAGGGTTTGGTTTATCGCGCATATAAGCCGGTCTACTGGTCTCCCTCTTCGGGGACTGCACTTGCCGAGGCGGAATTGGAATACCGCGACGACCATATTTCAACTGCGGCCTGGATCAAGTTCCCAACCGTACAAGAGTGGAGGGAGCTCCCAGAGTTCAAAGGTTTGCGAGACAAAGTTCCAGGATCTCTCTGTGCCGTAATATGGACCACTACGCCGTGGACATTACCCGCAAACAGAGCCATCGCCATACATGATAATCTAGAGTACTGTGTTGTCCGTCATGGGGATGATGCTTTGTTGGTCGCTAAGAGCCGTCTTGATACTCTTTTATCCAAGATCGGTGCCGAAGATCTTGAGATACTTGGGACTTTCCAAGGCGCACAATTAACGTCTCTAAAGTATGCTAATCCGCTCCGCGGGAAAAGAGATCCTCCTCTTCAACCTATTATACACGCAGATTTCGTATCAGCTGACTCAGGATCGGGACTCGTACATCTTGCACCTGGTCATGGGTTTGACGACTACGAGGTTTGCTTAAAACTTGGAATACCTCTGGCGGTTGCCGTTGACGGCCAAGGTAGATTTACTCCAGATGCTTGCCCCGACATGCCTCAAATGCTCGAATCCGCCCGTCCCGTAATTGAAGGCGGGGGGCAAACCATTCTCAATATTCTTGAGACCGATGATTGGGTTTTACGGGTAGAAAAGTATCAGCATAAATATCCATATGATTGGAGGACGAAGAAACCAGTAATCATCCGAGCTACCGAGCAATGGTTTGCTGACGTCGGATCCGTCAAGCAAGAAGCCCTTGCAGCCCTCAATGACGTTCGTTTTACCCCAGAATCTGGTAGAAAGCGTCTTGAGAGTTTTGTTCAAGGTCGAAGCGAGTGGTGTATTTCGCGACAACGTGCCTGGGGTGTTCCAATCCCAGCACTCTATACCGAATCTGGATCAGTCGTGATGGACGACGAAGTGGTCGAGCATATTATATCGGTTATTCAGGAACGAGGAACTCAGGCTTGGTGGTCAGACGCCCCAGACGACGATGCTTGGGTTCCGCCTTCTTTATCTGAGGGGTCTGCCAAATATACCAAATATCGACGAGGGACTGATACTATGGACGTATGGTTCGACAGCGGAAGTAGTTGGACAATGATGCGTGGCCGTGCAGATATTTATCTCGAAGGATCTGACCAACATCGTGGCTGGTTCCAGTCTAGCCTCCTTACACGAATTGCCGCAGGAACCCAAATGGATGCCAACTTTGAAAAAGGGGCTCCTTTCAAACATTTAATAACCCATGGCTTCACACTCGACCACGCTGGTAAAAAAATGTCTAAGTCGCTAGGGAATATTATTGAACCTCGACAAGTCATGGATGGTACACTTCTACCGCCAATGAAACGGAAAAAGGGAAACGCAGCACCCCAAGGACAACCTGCCTATGACGCCATGGGCCCTGATGCTTTGAGGCTGTGGGCTGCTAGCAGTGATTATACGCACGATGTTGCAATCGGAGTCCCCATGCTTAGCGCTATTCATACAGCGTTAATCAAATACCGTACTATCGTGAAAATGCTTCTGGGTTCCGTGCATGAATCTGCTCGGACGGCACCTCTAACGGCAACGGACCATATCGCTATTCTACAACTGCAAGACACGATGCAGGAAGTGGGCAAAGCATTTGATAACTACGAATTTTATAAGGGATTCGCCGCCTTGAACAAATGGATAATAAACGACTTCTCTTCTTTCTACTTGGGAGCCTTGAAGGATCGATTATACTGCGGGGATGGTGGGGGTGTTCTTGAGCCATTGCTTACCGGGCTTCTCAGGATGCTAATGCCAGTGACACCGCTACTCGTTGAAGAGGCGTGGGATCACCGCCCAGAATGGATGAAAGGAGACTCGTACGTTGATGGAAACCTTCGTATTCTGTCATATGAGGCTAACAGTCAAAATTTATAGGTCTTTGATTCATCCAGCTCACCAGCTCTACAACGATCCCATAATTGAGCCTAGCCGTCTCACCCGTGACCTAACCGCCCTACGGAAGGATATCCCGGTGCTTATGTCGGTGAACGCTGCCATCAAAGCAGCCCTAGAAGTTCCTCGGAAGGACAAAGTCCTAGGCTCGTCCCTGCAAAGTAGTGTTATCATTAAGATCGACGACGTCCAGACCCGGGAAGTATTGGAATCCTATGCAGACGAACTGGAGAGCATGTTCGTCGTTTCCTCTGTTGCCATAAACGGCGATCTCCCAGCGCAACCGGCGTGGTCCTACTGGTCCTACACTCAACTGTTCGAGGTGGGCGGAATCAGGGGGGAGGTCATCGTGCTGCCTCCTAAACACGCCAAGTGCCCTCGGTGCTGGCGATATGTTGTGCCAAAACCGGATCCCCCAGAAGCGGATAGCCTAGAAGAGGGTAGCTCAAGTGACGACAGTCCAAGAGAGGGTAGCCCAGAAGAAGATAGCCCAGAAGAGGAAAGACTATGCAGGCGGTGCGATGATGTGGTAGCGGCCCAAGGCGTGGAGGGAGTTGTAAATTAGTTGTAACTCGTTGTGTATGATCAATAGATAAAGCTCTCGACTGTAACTTGTCTTAATAGGCCCTAATCTCCTGAGCTGCGGGGCACTTAGATACTAGGGACATAGATGAGCGACTAGATGGGGAGCGGCAGCGACGTGAATAGCTGTTACGGCATCGGTAATGGCCATGTTATCATTAGATGAAGCTAAGTGGAATGGAAGCAACTTCGTTGTTCTGCGAGGAACTAACTTGTAGCGTAATGGGGGACGTGATACGTGGGAACACATAGGGGCAGGAGTTGTGAGTTATCCTGTGCTTCAAAGGGATCATAGGTTTATTTCCTCGATCTCATAGGAATGCAGATGTGATAGCCCAATGGGAAAGAGAACCACCGGCCACATAACTGGGGGAAAGAACTACAAAACAGGAAGGTACCTAACATGATTGAGACCGCGAATATATCTCGGGACCTGTACCTCGTGTAGGTTAGGTAGTAGGTACCATTCTATCAAAGTGCCTCGGCGAAAACCTCGAATACTGCACGAGACGAAAAAGAGCCTGCCCATCCGATGTTAACAAATCAAAAACGCAGGCTGGAGCACAGTCTCCCCATTCTTCTCTTTCTCTTTCTCCCGCACACAAAAGACCCCCGCGGGTTTCCTCTCTCTCTTTCTTACTTATTTACTTAGTTATTTTTCCCAGTGAAGACGGAGAAGTCGACGATTGGTACTGCTGCTAAGGAAGTGTTAGCATATAGTGAAGACGAAACATGCTATGGGGACGTACCAAATTTGGAGGGGAAATTCGAAACCAGAAGGATAGGATAGAAAAGGGGGTGTTTATCGTCATGTCTCGCATGACTGAAGTTCGGTTGAAAGAAAACGAAAATCGCGAAGACTGCATGTATCACGAAAGGGCTTATCATTGTTCTGCCAGCCGAGATCATCGTGACTGTATGAAACGTGCCGTTGGCCCAGGTCGATCTTGGAGAACGTCGATCTGTAAAGAGAGAAAAAAAGAAAAGAAAAAAGGAGCGGGAAAAAAAAAAGAGAAGAACCGGCAATCTCATAATCGCATGATCAATGAATTTCGAGAAAACAACGCAAAGGGAGTCGCAAACATCTGCGCGATGAAGAAGGTAACAAGGGACTGTGAAGGCCCAGCACTGATGTCCGCTTCCCACGTAGCTACCTGTCCTGTCGAAGTATTGAAGGATCGATAGACTGGTTGGAAATAAACGCGAGAGAGATTCATGTCGAAGTCGGGCATAGCCGACTAGCCGGGGGTAAGGGAGGCGTCCGAAAAGCAGACGACGAGATCTGAGCGGCTGAGCTGATTGGTACCTACCTAGGTACCTAGGTAGGTATATAAATTCACCTCTTTCGGCGATCATAATGATGGTGTTTATAAATGAGAATACCTTAGGTACGTGGGTTTGCATCAGGGACGTATGCCACGGGAATATCTCGAGACGGTGTGGCCGAGGCGCGCGCTGTCCAGGAGAGTCCAGATGCGGTAGCGGTTCTCCAGATGCTCCTCGCCGTGGAGGATTCCCCCCTCCTGGACCACGCCGCGCTGGCCCAGCCGGCGGCAAAGCAGCTCCCAGTCGAAGTCGTCATCGACGCTCAACGGCTTCATACCCGTCCTTTTGGCTTTCTCCGTAACAGCTTTCTCCAACGCGGCGAGGATGTTCTTGTCTAAGTCGAACAGCCACGGGAACAGGTCGCCGCCGAAGAGACTCTCTTTCCACCACGAGGGAGGAAGGACGCGCGTGCAAGCGAGCTGGTCCCGGCTCAGGTTCTTCAAAGGCCCCAACTGCTCGTAAATCATCTGCTTCAGCTCGCGGGCCAGGCCCAAGCGGCCCTCTAGACGAAGCTTGAGAGTCTGGTATCCATCTTTCGGACCCTTTTCCGCCGGGCGGAGGCGTACTAGGTGCCGTATAACAGCCAGCGACGTCCTTTTCTTCCTGCTTGACGGGTCGGCTTCTTGGACGGAGATTGCCGGGTTTCTGCGCCTAGCGTTCATGTACATGCGCAGATTATCAGCGAGCAGAATACCAAGGTAGCCGTGCGGCTCGTCAATGGGGCAGTTCAGGATCCCTTGGTGGCCCGGAATGGTCATCAGGGCACGCTTCATCCAGATTTCGTAGAAGTGGCCGAGTCTCGAGGGAATGCCACATTGGTCTGACCGGTTTGAGAACTTCCGAAAATCTATCTCAAATCTAGATTGATAATCGCAGAATCTCATCGTCAGGTGGTAGCAAGCCTTATGTATCGGGAGATACATCTCGGCATGGCTGGTGTTGATACTCGCCGTACCGCCACCCGAAAGGTCGAAACCGCTTCCGCCGCCGCGGAATCTCTCCACCTGGAAGAGTCCGACCGGTGCATCATCCGGGCCTTGGCGACGAGATGTCGCGTTTCGAGGATCTTTGCACCATTCCCAGAAACCCTTATCCGCCTTGACAAGCCACGGATGAAGCCAGTCGTGGTCACGGAGAGGATATGAAGCAGCGGATTGGGCCTGAGAAATAGGTAAATTAGAGAACCGATACGAAGGAAAATGCAGTAATGTATTTTCGCTGAAGCATAATATGGTGCTGACATCGCGTGCGTTTGTCGTGTGTCTGAAAAGGGGGACTTAAGGACGACGTACAGTTGGGCGACAAACGCCGCCGCATACGACACAAACAACAGTCTCATCACTGGGAAAAAACCGAAGTCTAATGGTAACGTGTCTATAGGTAGGAAGAGGGGGCGGAGCCATTTTCGCTAGGAGAGTCGCCCAAGAGAATCCCTATGCTTCGCGTCGTAGCGGGTTGTGAGGAGGGACGGGAGAATGATGAATAAATACACCCGCTTCGATGAGGTGTAACTTCTAATCGCAATTGAATCTTGAATAGTTACCTGATGTGAGAGGCTTATGTCAAAAGAAAGTGGGATCGAAATGAGATGGGTGCGGGTATTGCCCATAAAATATCTATCTGGATGAGTGTTGAAGGGGATGGGTTTAGAAGGGTTTTTTATGTTGAAAGGTATTGGTGTAGCATGATATAAGTGTGGTGGTTGAGGAGGTGTAGATGGAAATGGTAGGGGAGGAGTTTTGCGGAGGGATGAAGGATAGTGTGAAAAAGGAAAGATGGCCTGCTTTCAAGTTGCAAGTAACAGCCTGGAAGGTGTATCTGTTTGCACCTACTAATTTAGTTTGGTGGGCTATGTCGTTTATACGAAGCTGTCTTGGATGAGTTAAATGGGTTAGTATAACGACATGGAGAGATCGTTGAATAGAACCCCGTTTGCCGTGCGAGATGTAACTCAGAGAGGCGTGAAAGATCCAAATGTCCAGACACAGGTGAAGGGTTGTCACCTGGAAGGGCAGGGGCTGACAATAGAAGGAAATAGAAAATAAGATATGACGAGTATAGTCGCCGACAAGTATGACTTTCAACAAGCTTTAGGTAGTCAACAAGTATGGTTGCCAACAAGTATAGTTGGTAGCACGTATAGTTGCTGCTGATGAATATGGCAGTTGCTAACAAGTATAGTGACAAGTATAGTCGCCAGCCAGTATAGCAATCTCCAACGGGTATAATCAGCAATAGGTATAGCCGGCAACATGTATAGTTGTTGCCAGTGAATATAGTCATCGCCGGTGAGTATAGTTATTGCTAGTGAAGTGAATATGGTAGTTGCCAATTAGTATAGTTGCCGGCAAGTATGACTATCAACAAGTATAGTTGCTAACAAGATAGCGACCAAAAGCTGTAGTTGCTGATAGGTATAGTTTCTAAGTATAGTTGCCGACATGTATAGTCGGCAAACCTGTCTGAATTGATGAACGGTTCGGCATCAGTCTGACAATGGCTAGAGGTAAGTATGGGATGGCAAAACCAAAAATGTGCCAAGACATGTTCTCAATTCAAGATACTTTCGTAGAAATGCCATGAAGCATTTCTAAGGCAGAGCCACTATTAACTAAGGAGTATACGGCAAGGAATAGCGTCGTATAGAGCCGTGCGTGGAAAGAACCACAACATTAACGAACTAGCACTGGTTCGGACAAAAAGCACCTAAGGTGAGAATAAAGATATTATCCTGTTCCTATTTTCAACAAGCAGTCAAGAGTCTGGGGTATCTAATATACTGGCCACATTGATCAACCAAGACAGGAGAAAAGCTTCAAGGAGAAGGTATCAAGCCATTGTTCCCTTTCGTTCCTAAAAACAAATAAATATGCAGATACTCATCTCGCCGCTGCCCCCATAAAACTCCAGTAAGTTAGACAACAATCACTTTGAAATTGAACTGGCAACGTCCTCTGCAAAAGACATCTCTCTGAATGAGGCTGTTTAATTTAGCCTTGGGCTCTTCCTTCTAGAGATACTCTGGGAAAAGACCTCTCTACCACCTCCGGGTATCATCGATGAGAGGAGGGGTATATTTTCACGCCCTTCGGCGGGCATCGAGAGCTTGCTCGCCCTTGACGATCGTGTCGTCCTGCTCCTCTTAAACACTGGCATCGTTAAATCTCCGTCTGCCTTTGCGGGTGCGTTCATCATCTCTGAGCCGACGTTAGCTCCAAGCCCATGAACTGTGGCGTTGGCGTGAGCGTCAAAACCGCTCGCGCCTATCGCATTAAGGTTTAGGTTAGGATGCACCTCTCGTAAACTCATTGATAAGGGGTTATGATCGCGTTCTGAAAGTGGGAACGTGTTCTCTGACGAAAAAGGCCTAGACGGCGATCGATTTTCTGATAAAGTCGGGTCCGAGTCGGAAAAGACCTTAGCTTTACTGGGCGATGGCTCGCCATTTAACTCTCTAAGAAGTGCCTCATGTGGCTTGGTATGTGGAAGCTCTGTGGGATATTCATACGTCGTTTTTCGTGGTGTATCCCCAGTTGGCTGATATTCTTGGAGCATCGTGTTATTAATATCTTCTCGAAGATCGGCGAGAGGTTGGCAGAGTTTTTCTGAAAGGGGCTCCAAAGAGTTTTGCGCGTTGACGACATCAATCTCCATTTCTGAGCCAAGGTCTTGAACCCTAGAATAAGTGCTCTTGAAGTGATCGGCGATATTTGCGTATGAATCTTCGATAGTACTAGATAAGCCCTCTACTGAATCGACATGTTGATCGTGGTGTAGGGCGTTTTGCTCTCGGGCTCGAGAAACGAAATCGTCTAGGGTAGTCATCTGCTCTTGAAGATCCTTCATTTGTTCATCCACAACCCGCACAGTCTCGGCGTGTACTGACTCGGTTGTGTCCTGGATTGAAGTGCTATGCTTATTGGCAATCTGTTGAATTGTTAGCAATCCGGCAACCAAGGAAATTCGAAGGGGGTATCTTACTGCCCAATCATCTTTGAGCTTAGTCTTCAATATTTCTCGAGAATTGGCAACTTCATCAAGAAGTTGATCCTCTTTCTTGTTCCAATTATCCACTCCCTGAGAGTATTCCGCCATGCTCCTTTCCAGTGTAGCACTATTCTCCTGCACGCTCTGGTGAATAGAAACAGCCTTGCTCGCTAGACGCGATTCCTGAATTTCAGCTTGGGAATTGATGAGAGCCGTAATCTGCGCTAGGAGATTCTGTCGTTCCTCGGCCGCTTGCCGGCGCTCTTCGTTTACGGCTTCTTGTAGTTGTGACGAGATAGAAGCATTTGACTGGATGATCGTGTTGCTTGCTTGGCGAAGCTGTTCCCTGAGACTATCGGATTCTTCCCTTTGAGAGGTTATATGCCTCAATAAATCTTCGAAAATGGTCTTGAAATCTTTACCGAGAGAAGAGTACGATGTATGCAACTGATTATGAAAAATACCCAGTTCGCTGAGGACATCCTGAGCTATTCTTTCGGCTGCCGTCGCAATAGCCTGAAGGCTCTCGCCCACCTTCTCTTTGATGTAGTCTCGCACTTCCTTGATCTCTTCAAGTACTTCGTCCATTTCTTCTTTGGACTTCTCTTTCTGTTCCATCAGCTCTCTCTTAGACTGGGTGTAGAGCTCTAGGTTCTGGTCGAGGAATGATTGAGTGGTGGAGAGTTTTTGCAGCTCTTCCTGCACGAATGATTGCATTCGCGTTGAGATACTCGAAATATGTTGCTGCTGCTCATTGCGGAATTCTTCCACACGGCCTTCCACGAGCGAAGTCACATCCGACACCTCGCTTTGAGCTGTTTTCCAGTTTGTCCGATTCAACGACTGTATATCCGACTTTCTTTTATTTTTGGCGTGTAGACCACCCACATCCTTGATAGTCTTATGGATCGTAGTGATGAGTTCGCCGCCAATTACCTGCATCTGCTCCTCAGTCTTCTGGTGTGCCTTGCGTAAGTGTCTTTCTTCCGCGAGACTCTTGCGGGTTGCTTCAAGCACCAACTCGGTCTGGTCGAGAACACCCTGAGTTTCATCAAGCTGGGCCTTCGTAGCTTCGTTATCCTCCTTCAGACCCATGAAACTGGAAGTTAAGGAAAGTAGTTCTTGGACTTTGTTTCTTAGGTTAGACTCGAGGGATTCGATCTTGGCAGCCTGCTCCTCATTTCGGATCCTACGTGATTCGCTCTCCGCAGTCATTTGTTCATATCTCTCATTTGCCAGATAGACACCGTTTCGTTGACGGGTCGCGATCAGCTCGCTTCTCAGTCGTTCGATCTCGTTGGTAAATTCCCTGAGAAGAGTTTCTTTGTTAATTCGCTGATTGACCTGAGGTTTGTTCCGGATGTTCTTCGCTCTAAAGGCGTAGTCGAGAGTGGATATGGTTTCTTCGAGATTGCTCTTCGCTGGCGAAATAGTAGCGATGATGCAGGTCTTCGTGCGACCGCCTAAAGAGTCTTGTAGTAGCCTCGTTAATTTAGATTCTCTGTAGGGAATATGTGAGCTGCGTTCAACAAGCGCGTTGATAACACGCCCGAGAGTAAGCAAACTTTTGTTTATCAGGCCGGCCTCGGCAGCTCTCTTGTTCTCAGCCCCAGAGCGCTGTATGTTCTCGCTGCCAGCAAGATCCACTAGATTCAGCTTTCCAGCACTGACGTACTCCGCATCGCCTTCAGTCTGTTTTACGCACGCCGTGATGGTAAACACGGTATGGCTTCGACTACTGAGGTCATTGCATTTAGTAGCGGCAACTTGTCTTTTTAGACTGCCGTCTTGCAGTAGTTTGATACCCTCCGCCGCGTTCCTGATATGCGTCTCCTGCATGCCTTGGACGACGGTAGTCGCGTGACCTCTCCGGGACGCGTCATCAAATATCTTTAACTTGGCGTTTTCTTCGACGGAAATGAGATCGCGAAGTTCCTCATTGTAGAGTTCGATAAACGAGCATTTGACAAAGCTGTCGGTATTTTCAGCATCTAGCTTGTGAAAGAGAGATTGCAAGACTCGAGGAATGATTCCGGCATCATCAGAGAGCAGGCCTAAAGTAGTATTCATATCACCAGACATGGTGTATGTTTTACCAGTACCGGTTTGGCCATAGGCAAATATGGTGCAATTGTATCCGCTAAGCATCTGAGTGGAAGTTAGCTATTTGCTCGGACTGAATATTGGCTTGCAAAACGCACCTCTTCGAGAATAGGCTTGACAACATCGTCATATAGCACACTCTGGTCGGCGGCTTGAGAGAAGACACGGTCAAAGTTATATGTTTTGTTGCTCAAGGCACTTGGCCCCATGGATAATTCGACTAATTTCCCCTTCACACCCTCGGTGGAGACAACGACGGCACTGTTCTCTTGTACTTCTCGGTCATTGCGTCCTCGACATCTGACAACTACGTCGATATTTGTCTCCGTGGTTGCCTCTATCTCGTAATCGCGCTCCTTGCGCTTGGCGCCTAAGGTGGCGGAAGATGCCAGCGACGGCGCTGGTGAAGGCGCCGCATTCCTGGGGATTCTTCCGGCAACGGCAGTATGATGATGAAGTGCTTGGTTTCGAAGCGATGAAGCTCTGTTGGTAGGTTGTCGAATACCAGATCGGGCAGCAGCACCGGAGCGGGTGCTGGATGCCGTTGAGGGCCTTTCGCTCCTTTGAGAGCGGCCCTGCATTGTTGCTATTGTAATTCGATTTAGTGAGATATTGTATGTAAGCTGTTACTTAAAGCTAACAAATAAGTTGGAGCTATCGCAACATAGAGCAGTGCGAGGTAGGGGATCAAACAAGGGAAAAAGATGAAGAAGATAAGGTAGCTAGCTCATGGGTGATTATCGAGCAATGAGCTAAATTAATTCACTAAAATGCTAGTGAGAAGGCTTTTTTCGGCTTTGGAGAAGGTCAAGGTGGGAACGTGTAGGGGTTTGTACGTTAGGTACACATGTAGAAGTTGTGTTTCGTCAATAATTGTGCAAAGGAAAAAAGACGCGACACGATGTTGTATTCTTCGAAGCCTGTGCTTTACGCTAATGTTATGGGAAGACAGGGGACCCACTGAAAATATCAATAGCCGAAAGTACGCTCTGTTGCTGGGACAACAGATACCTGTAAGGTACCTAACCTATCTATGCGCTGGGCGGGTTAAGCGGGGTAGGAATGAGAAGCTTTGGTGGATTGATTAGATTAGGTACCTACCTAAGGTAGGTAGGTACCTAGGTACCCCTACCTTAAGCAGCTGAGCAGCTGAGGTAATGCAAGGCTAATGAATGCTAAGTGAAGTGCCTGACTATTACACGTGCCATCTGTATCAAATGACGTCCCCAGCGCATCTGATTCCTCCGGAGTCCGTCCCTTAATCGCATCTGACGTTTCTACCTTTTATTTTACGCTTTTTAACCCTTTTTACCTTTCACCTTTCACCTTTACAGCCTTCCAAGCCAAGCGGCCTAACATGAGGAAATCATACTTATAATCATCACTAACCACATCAATCCTACTCTCTATGGATTTGCCTAGAGTTGATTGACTTGTTTGACTTACGTCTAGTAGCTGATACGGTTTATTGTATCCGATTTCTTCCAAAAATCAATCACTAAGTACCATCAAATTCCAGATTCGGCTTCGACATGTCTTCACTCTTTACCGCAGCCCTTCACCCTAGTGTTGGGCTAGGTTTCCTTGGTAAGTATTTGGTGGATATCCTGCTATCATTCATTCTACTATCATTCGCCATCCTGAGAGCTAAACGACAAGATGCTAATCATCCCCGTCTTTAGTGCTCGGTGCCTCTCTCCACGATATCCTCACACGATTGAAGGCCGAACCGCAGCGCTATCCCAAGTTAGACCTTGCCTACTCTGCTACTAATCCTGTTGGCGAACCCGTAATCGTAACTCTCCCCGCAAACGGTATTCGATTGCGATTCGATGGCCCGGAGCAGCGCCTTCGCCTCATCGAGATCATCGACTTCACCAAAAATCGTATTACCTACCAAGACAAGGACATCGCTAAGCCCGTAACCTCCCAGGGAGTGGTAGGGTCCCCTAGGTTAGGTGGAGATGCTACAGCTGGCCCAGCATTTAAGAACATCTACCATCGCCTGTTCGGTCCAACATATGCTGGAGAATACATCCCTCCTGCGGACTCGGGTCACGGAAATGCCGTGGGCACTTATATACTGTCTTATCCCGGCGTAGCGTTTAGCTTCCCGTTGCCGAAGTCGGCTTACTCTCCGAATAAAGACGTCGTTTCTTTGTTATCTTCATCCGTAAGCCAGACTGCTACCTCTGTTGCCATATTTAGTGGGAAGTCTTGGGCACATGCTCGCGAGACTTTGTGGGATGAGGTTCTCCCAAGCGTCAAGTCGGCGCTCGTGTTTAATAAGAGTAAAGAGGTCGTCCCTGATGAAGTCTCCCTAGTCAAGATCCATGGCGGTGGTAGACTTCAGCTGTTCAGGAAGTGGACTAATACATCCGTATGGATCAACCTGGGAGAGACCACACCCCAGGACCTGGTAGCGGAGTTCGGACCGCCTGATGCTATATATCGGAAGAATGACCAGAGGATGTATATCCACAAGACTCGTAACGCAAGTCATAGCCGATCTAGATCGAACGGCGGTGAATATAGGCGGCCAGATGATCTGATCGATACTGACCAATCTTCGGCACACACTACTGGTTCGGATGACTCCGAAGACGAGGCCATCGAAGATGAGATCGTGGGTAATGTATCGGGCGAATGCTTTTACAATTACTTCTATCTAGGGTTTGATATCCTAGTCTCGCCGCCTCAGCCCCCATCGCGCACACCTCCGTCTCAAGTAGCCGCCTTAAAAGGAAAAGAGGCGCCCGGAACGAACCTGTTCAAGAACGCTACAGCAGATCGATTAGTGGCCACGAAGATGGTATTGCATGCGAATGTACCTGGCTCATACCCATTCAATAGGCATCGCCGTTGTCGCTGGGAGATTCCATATCTCGCAACCGGGAACGCAGATGACGTTATAGATTCCGAGACGCCGTTCGACGGGATTGAGGAAAGATTAAGGAAGGAATGGAAGAGCACATACCCCTCTGAAGATGATGCTAAAAGGCGCCAACGAGGTATGGTCCTAAACAGAGGATGGGGAGACAGTCCTGGAAGTAGCTGTGAGTTTTTAGGGGGTTGGGAAGATAGTAGCGGGGGAGTATCAGCGAAGAAGTTTGACGGAAACGAAGATTCTACAACTACACTGTATGGGTTCCCTGGGACGGTTTTCGAGGTGCTGAAGAACGGATTTGTGAGCGCGGTTACGGTATATTAGGCTGGTGGGACTGGGCATTGGATTTTGCGGTTGTCCTTTCGATCGCTTTACGAAATTTTTAGAATATCTTAATAAGTTGAACAGCGAATATTCGCCTTCTTTGAGATACGCTCTAAACGGACATGTCTTACTGAAGTTTAGAGTTACCTTACCTTAGGTACCTATCTATCTGACCGTCTTGTGTAAGAGGTAAGAGGTATACAGAGTTCTTCAAACATGCGATGAACGATTCTGGGTAAAGCTTCGTGTTTGCCGCCTATTTTCTTCACGAAGATAATAGGAGGGGCAATTACGAATCAAGATTGAATCATGTTGCTTATTATTTGAAAATCTCAGAACAATCTATTAAGGGTGTACAATTTTCTGCTCGTCAGGTTATATATCTCGGAAATATCACCTTCCAGAATTGGCTTTAGGTAGCATAAGTATGTTCCGTCCTTAGAAATAAACAAAAATACTGCATACGAGTAGTACTTATTTCAGCAAACAACCCCGTAATGCTTAGGTCCACGAGCGCATCTTCTCCGCCGCTGCTCGCCCCAGTGTCATGGCGGTCGCGCCGCCCAAAATTTCAAAGATGGCCAGGTCGACCTTGAGGGTCTGAAGAAACCAATTTTTCAGTTCCACAGCGATGAGGGAGTCTACCCCGTAATTATGGAGGGGTTGGTTCAAGTCAAAGCTTTCGCTTGGCAAAGAGAAGACTGTTCCAAGCCTCAATGCGAGACCATTCGCTAGAATTCCGGCGGCTTCATTTAATGATCTCGAAGCAGCTACTTGTTCAGCCAACTTCGGGCCCTTATCAACCGCAGTATCCACGTCGTTGGAAATAGGGGTACGTGAGGTCATCTGATGAAGGTTTGCGAACATCGGCTCGTATGTCCACCTTGAGGGCTCTAAGCCTCGACCCTTGATGTTCTGGGGTAAGTCGAGACCAAGAACGACTTGAGATCGTGTTGGATCAGGCGGAAGAGATTTGTCGCAAAAATGTTCGAGGAGAGCAAGGACTTCGGCCTCGTCGATTGGTAACATTTGCTTGATTTTCGCAAATCTAACAAGAAAGTCTTGGTTTTCCGCAAGGTATCCGTCGCTGCTAAGGATACCAAGATCCAAAGAAACGGCTCTTTCCCCTCGACTTAGTCGATATTTAGCCAACTCATCTTGGAATGTGTTGCCGGTCGCATAGTTGGACTGTCCTTGGGATCCGATTATGCCAGATATAGACGAGAACATGATAAAAAAGTACAAGTCTCGTGGCAGTAGTTGATGTAGGTTCCATGAACCATGGATCTTTGGCTTCAGAGATGCAGTCCACGATTCGTAGCTCATGTTCTCAAAAATGGAGTCCTAACTTGATTAGTAGGGTTCTCGATGGGGCCATGGGGTCTCTTACTTTGATATCCATTGCTGCTTGAATGCAACCTTTGATCGGTGGCATATGGAGCTTGCAATAATCAAGCACTGCGCTTAACGATGTTGCATCGGATATATCGCATTGAGGCGTATAAACTGTAGCTCCCCTTCTCTCCAGAGTTCGTATGAAGCGTATCGAATTCTCGTCGCGCGGTCCTGTGCGGGACAGTAAGACAAGATTCCTAGCCCCCTTTGAAACCATCCATTTGGAGATACTTCGGCCTTGTCCGCCGAGGCCACCAGCAATCACGAACGTCTCATCTTGGCCGAACTCCCAGCTTGATACATGTGTAACTGTTGCCTAGATTTCTATTAGAATTTGAAGAATATGGGTAGGATGTATATTTTCTTACCAAAACCTCATCATCTGGGTCCACCTCAACAACGACTTTTCCAAAATTGGTACCACTCTGAAGATAGCGGAAGGCAGCTTCAACTTTGGATATGGGAAACGATTTAATTGGTGAAGGCATATGCAAAACACCTCTGTTGAAAAGGTCGGAGATAGCTAGCATGGAATCTTGTATCAGTTTTGGCTTTTCTCGAACCATAGCTGCTATGTCAACGGCGCTGAATGATACGTTCCGAGCGAATGGAAGCATTGGCAGCTTGTTGTGAGAAAATATGTCTTTCTTTCCGATTTCAATAAATCTGCCAAACGAGGCGACGCACTCCCATGAAGCGACGAGGGCATCTCCCGCCAAGGAATTGAGTACGACATCAACACCCCTATTTCGCGTGAGGCGTCTGATCCCGTCGGCGAAAGAGAGATCCCTGCTATTGAGGATGTTTTCCGTAGGTATATCGTAGAGAGTGTTGAGTAATTCTTTCTTTTTATTTGAGCTCACGGTAGTGAAGACTTGCGCGCCGCATATTTTGGCAATTTGAATAGCAGCCTGTCCCGTTCCACCAGCTCCGGAGTGTATTAGAACAGACTCTCTTTGAGTGAGTTTCGCAACCACAACCAGTGAATGATACGCCGTAACAAAGTTCACTGGTATTGCACTGGCCTCGTTAAACGTCATCCCGTTCGGTATCTTCGTAGCTAACATCCCTGAGCATCGCAGCCGGCTCCTGAAGGTATCTATAACACTCGCGTAAACGCGATCTCCCTGCTGAAATCCCGACTGGGGGCCCGCCGTTGCAACTACACCAGCGCATTCGCACCCCATAGTATCATCGGGGACACGCCCCAGAGCTACGAGACAATCTTTGAAGTTGACACCTATAGCCTTTACTTCAATTTCTATCTCGTCGGAGGCGAGTCGGTTTGATTCGTATACTTCCTCGAATTGCAATGTGTCTAAAAGTCCTGGTTGTCGCACTTTTAAACACAGGTTATGACGCCCAAAGGACTTCAACTCTTGGGTAGGTTTTGACGAAAGTTCGTGAATTCGGTTGTTCAAAGAGTCGCATTCATAAATTCGAGGAACATGAAGTAGTTCACCGATTTGGACTAGCTCTGGCTCATAAGATCCCGATCCCACCCCATATAGAAAGTTCCACAGAACACTCTCAAGATTTTCTTCTAGAGCGGTTGTAGAGGAGGTGTCAAAGCCGACCGTGGCAAAAATGTGGTCACTGTTTTCCATCCGAAGGGTCCTGGCTAAGCCCTGAACCGCACCTATCGCGGGAACCTGACCCGAAGACAGATCGGCTTCTGATATCCATAGTATGTGCTTATATCGACTGAGCGTTGTATGTAATGCTGAATATTCTTTGCTGTTTAGATTCTCAAGCTTCAGCCACTGGTGGTGATGCGGCACGACAATAACCAAGCAGCAATTAGAATCCACTTGTGTTGACACTTCGTGCAAACAACTTTCTCGTACTTCCATAGAATATGTGGCCTTGAGCTTTGAAACAATTAGCTTTGTTAGTGAGGACTCTAGATATCTGTCGAAGCCGCTGATGATGAAAATTGATTTGCCTTGAGAGAGCTGTAGTTCTCGGAAGCTCTTCGGCCTTTCAATATTAGACGAGATGGAAATGGTTACAAATGGATTTCCTTCGAAATAGGGAGCGGGGAATGCCAGGTCAAACCCAGCAATCTCATTTGATTTCAGGTATTTGAGCCATCGCGTTTCCTCCACACCAAGTTCATCTAACTCTTGCATTCCCTTCGCTGCATTCAACTTAGTACTTTGCCCAACATGAGTTTCCGATAATTGCATACCTTTCCATAGTGCGGGAATGTGACGAAGAGTCAAGTTTCTAATGATGAAAATGGGATATGTGAAGTTGATAACGAGTATATTCCCGCCCCTGATGACTTCCGATTAGCAATGTTAAACCCCTATTGATAATTGTCTTAGGTAGGGCTTACTGTCTCAATAGCCTTCTTAGGTTCTCTAACCGTCGTCGTTTGATTTCTACGGTACAAGGTGTCTATGAATTTGGATAAGTTAACAATGTTATCAGATACATGTTTGAATATAGTAAAGCTTACTTCAACGGTTATGATAAGGTCATAGGAGCTTTCTTCATACCCTTGAGAAAGTGGATCTTGCCCAGGGTCGAATGAACGAATTCGAGTTTTAGGTAATGTACCCAGTGCACTTAAGATAGACTCAAGATTCTCTTCGGAGACGTCGGTAATATCAAAGCAAGAGAACCGGTGAACGACGCCTTCGGTAGTTTGTAACTCCAGGGCGCGGATTATGTGCCATGTAATTGAAGTGATCCTGGCTCCTGTTTGTAATATCCTCATGTTAGGGTCTTTATGGGCCATGGTGTCAATGAGTCTGTGCAGTGAACTCTGAAATCGAGTGTCCTCAACCTGGTTGTTAACAATCTCTTCGGCCATGCTAGTTAGGTGGCCTATATCTAAACCACCGGGATATTGATGCCCATTGAAAACATGGAGAAGATACTCGCTAAAATGGGTGAGTATAATTCCAGTACGAGCGTATGTTTTGCCACTATATAACTCATCGACCATGAAGTCGCTGGTGCGGTCCCGCCAATCCAGGAATTCCGGGGATTCATGATGCGTAATTGAATCCCGATGATATTTTGTTGAGTTATACTGCTTTTCATACTTGTGTTCTGTTATGGAATTGTAGAAGGTAGCTACCCCAGTCACTGGTTGGGAAAAGGAAGTGAGAATAAGCGCAGCCAGTTTCTGAAAGAACTTAGCTATTGATGGTTCGCTGGAGTTATATTGTTCCACATATTTTTCAAATGCGACACGGTTAGTCGCATACAAAGCAGGTTTGTATACGAGGTCGTAGCATAGCCTTCTCACTTTCAGTTGGTTCATTGGCTCGTGATGCGACGTATTGTATACCGCTAGAGTTGTCTCGATGTTTTCTGCCTCGATGAGCCGTCTAGTCTTATTTTTATCCATGGCGCAGATATCGGAGCTCCTAAGCCTGGAGCTTATGGGATGGCTGGTTGCGTAGACCTGTAGTTCATCCGTAGATGTTATTTCTCTAGAGCATGCGCTCGCAATCCACATCCTGGAGATATATGTAGGAAGCCATGTTGTAGTCTTGTTACCATTATTTTGGACACCCCCGAAAACAGCCATTTGGAGGATTTTGTCAAGCATACATGGGTGGACTGCCGCGAAGTCTTTGATTGGAAATTCATCTGGACTTTGCATTGACACACTAGCCACCCCTTCTTCTCTTGTGTTACTCCATATTGACTGACGAATACCCCGAAAGGACGGGCCATAATGATAGCCATTCTTGTACAGAGTCGCATAGAAATCTGTTGAATCAATCTCGGTGTAATCTAAAGAAGCGATAGATCGAATAAGATCATTCTTATAGTCAACTTGTTGTTGTTCTTCGTCGAATTCGAGATTGTTTAGAGTGGAAAAGGTTGCTTTTATCGACCCCCGGCAAATTTCCACGAAACTTTCCTTGAATGAATATAAGGAGAATGTGGCCCAAGAGCTTGACCTTTCGGATGGATCTTGCAAAATCTTGAGATGTAATTGCACTTCAATACCATTATTATCTGGGGGGATCGGGAGTGCTGTATGAAAGTGCACATCTCTCAGTTCATATCCTGTTATCGTACGGTCGCCCGACACTTGAGTGATAGCTTCAATCGCCATCGCAATCATGGCTGCAGCGGGATATATCACTTCTCTGTTGATCTAATATGCGAGTTAGTAATTGTGCAATTTAAAAAAGTACCTTATCACATTACTTGATGATCCTCTAACCACGGAATTGACGATGCTTTCAGATTATTTTTCCAACGAGGCTCTAATGGATTCCAGTCCGCTACTGGAAGTCCCAAGAGTTCGTGATATGGGTATAGAGGAAGTCTGGTGTTCCTCGCGGTGCATGACTCGTTCCAGTAAAACTGTGAATTGTCGTAAGGATATTCGGGTAACGTTATGAATGTTTTCGATAATCTACCTGCTACTTCATAGGGGCCATTGACAAGCCGAAGGTCAACATCAAAACCGAGACAGTGGAGCTTTCCGATCAATTCGAGCAAAGTAATATCTGCTGCTTTCCCCCTTACTAGAACGGACCCGTATGAAACTTGGTCTTGCCTCGGCGGCTTTATAGACATGCCTATATCGCGAATTGGTCCTTGTAAAGCACAATGTGGGCCGATTTCGACCAGATCAGATATCTTGGCATACTGGCGATGACTTAGATCAATTTTCTTTGCCACTGTCCTCATGGAGTTACGATGTAGGCGTTCAACTGCACTATTGAAGCGTACCGGAGAGACCATGTTTGTAACCCAATAGTCGGGGCTTCGAAGCTCGGCCGCCGAAATGAAGTCTCCGGTGACGGAAGATATCATACTCATATGATGAGAGGGGATGTTTCCTTCAAGTAGTTTTCCGATGAGCCGTCTATATGCCGAACTAATAGGGATCATATGCGAGGTGTGATAAGCAACGGGAACCTTTAATATCCTGGCAAAGAGTCCCTGCTGTTCTAATCGGGATTTCAATTCCCTAATAAGGGTTTCGTCACCAGCAACGGTCAGGCTATTTGTGCTATTGAAACAGGCTATCGACAATATGCCATCTTGCGCGCTGCTTAGGATTTCGTCGAGATAGGGGCGCAAGGTAGTCTCTGATAGCCCTACTGCCATCATCGTCCCGCGAGAACCTCCGAGTGGCGAGGCCGCCAACTCGCTTGAAAGGAGACCACGGAAATACGCCAATTTTAGAGCAGAGTGATGGCAGATGGCTCCAATGGTATATGCTGCCGCAATCTCTCCGCTAGAGTGCCCAACCGAAATGGTTGGATGGATGCCAAATGACCGCATAAGATCGACGATGGCAATCTGCACTATAGTACAGAGAGGCTGCGCAAATTGAGGGTCGTGAATATTCACCTCATGGCCGTAATTACCGAGTAAGAGATCTGGAAGTAAAAGAAAATCAGTATTTGATCATCGAAGTTTATATAGATATACTTTCGGACACCTACCACTAGCCTTCCAAGAACACCCAATACTCTGTAGAAACTTATCTGCCTCAGATACCGAATTCTGAAAAACCGAGTACGAGAAAAGCTCTTTGGCCATCCCGACCCACTGTGCCCCTTGGCCCGTGAAAATAAAGGCCATTTTTCGATTGTGAGCTGATAGAACTGGCTCTATTTGTGTCGACAATTGCTTCACAAGGTGAGATGCGGATGCAGCGACCGCAAACACTCTCCACGAATGCACAGTACGCCTTTGTGCAAGTAGGTATGCTAGAGTTGTGAGATCTCTTGGAGTAAATTTATCGTTTCCTACCTCGCTTCTCTCAATATACTTCTGATGCTCTTTGACCATGCGTAATGTTGCATTCCGATCAGCAGCAGACCAGACGAAGAGAAGCTGGTTCTGACAAGAGGGGATATTTGCTGAACCGGGCGTTGGGTCATGCACGCTGGATGAATTTGTTGTTGTGCAATGTCTTCCCGCAAGCCCCCGAGCCTCTAGATAATGCCAGGCGTCATCTAGAACAACATGCGCATTTGTTCCTCCGAAGCCAAAGCTATTAACACTAGCACGGCGCAGTCCCGGACGTGGCCAAACCACTGGAACTTTTGGGAACTAAAACATTTTAACATATATTCAGTCGGGTGAGAAAGAAAAACTGTACCTTAAGCTTCAGAAACTTCGTATCAATATCCTCATTGATATTTTCAAGCTGTGCAATAGGGGGGATGACACCATTCTCCAGAACTAGAATGGTTTTTATTACCCCCGCAATTCCCGCAGCTCCTTCAAGATGTCCGATATTTGCTTTCACAGTGCCTCTATTGGCTCATTAGTCTGAAGGTTAAACAGAGATGAAAGACCTGCAATTGACTCACACAATCAAAGGGTCGTCTGGATCTCTACCTGGACGAAATGCGTCTCCAATTGCACCTGCTTCTATGGGATCACCTGAAGCCGTGCCAGTGCCGTGTGCTTCAAAGTACCGGGTCTGGGATAGGTCGAGGTTTGCTTTACGATAAGTATTCTCTATAAGCTGTCTTTGCATTTCCTTGTTTGGCTGTGCAAGGTTGGTGTGGCCATTTTGGTTTGTGCCTACGGACCGAATGACAGCACGTATTATATCACCATCTCGGACGGCAGCGTCGACAGGTTTTATAATCAAGACACCAAAACCTTCGCCTCGACCATAGCCATTTGCTCGGGAATCGAAGCTATGACAGACGCCGTCCGGGGATAGGAAACCAAGATTGGAAAGACTTACAAAAAGATCAGGGGCTAGTAAGAGATTGCAACCGGCTACAATACCCTTGGAGCATATTAGTACCTACATAATTGCTTTGTGTGACAGAAATGGTACAAATAAAAACGCTATTGATGTACGAACCATCTTTGATCGGCCATCTAATATAGACTGGCATGCCAAATCTAGGGCCACGAGGCTACTCGAGCAAGCAGTGTCGACAGTAATGCTAGGGCCAGTCAAATCGAAATATGTACTGATTCTGTTGGAGAGCATACTGCCTGCCATACCGGTAGCGGCATATTTCGGTAGGTTATCCGGGTCCCTCGCCCCGTTGAGAGCATAGTCTGCAGTAAAGCACCCAGTATGTACGGACGTATCCGAGCCTTTGATTGTATCCGTCGGAATACCGGCTACGTATCTCAATATTAACAAGGCCGTAGCTTACAGGGCAAGGCTCGAAAGAAGTGGACATTTAGGTATATATAAGTAGATTTAACATACCATTTTCAAGAGCGCGGTAGGTCGTTTCTAGAAGGATTCTTTGCTGCGGATCCATCGCTTCTGCTTCTTCAGACGTCATCGCAAAGAATCGAGCATCGAACGAGCCAATTGTTTTCTGTATGAAAGAGGCTTTTTGGGGCAGAACCTATACAACGGTTACTATGCCAAGACCTCCTTGCATCAGGCGAAATACGGAGTAGAATTCATAGGAGGTATTCTTCTAGTAGGACTTCGTGGAGTGGCAGGTTACTTACAGCTCCTATACCATCCTTACCCCCATCGTGGCGTTGTGAGTTACGAAGGCGCTCTTGGGGGAACTGGGATGCTACGCATTTGCCAGATATCAAAACGTCCCAGAAAGATTCTGGAGAATCTGCCTGTGGAAATATGAAGGAGAAACCTATAATGGCGATGTCACACGATCCATAGCCAGCAAACAAAGTCGGCGAATGGTCACCACGAGTCGCTGTACTATTGGTACCCGACCGTCTGGAGAGCAAACCTAGCGGCATACCGGGAGCTCGTAATTACGCTCAGAGTAGGGTAAGATCGCCCACACCATGCAGTAGCTGCAAAGTAATGGATTAAAGATTGGAAGATATTAACCATAAGGCAAACAACATGAATGGCGTATATGGCTGGCGTAGTACGAATGGAGGATAAGCAAAACCTACATAGTACTGCACCTAGAGGGTAGATATTCATACCTAGAGATAATTATCACATGACTGGCTTAATGTGTCCTCATATGGGAAGATCCTTCCTACTATCATTTGCGCCGTTTTCTGATCGGATCACCGACTTCCAATACAACTGCAGTGCCCCTTATGAGTACGACTGCAACGATAGGTAGGTACCTATCTAGCTACATTTAAGGTACCTAAGGTAGGCTTTCGTGGTACGCGGCAAGTGTTTACGGTTACATAAATTAAAAATGCACTCAAGATATATGCTGTGTTCCATCAATGCATCCGGGGGGGAAGCAGGTTTCATCTCTACCTATCATATCAGCCATATACGATATGAGCTGTTATATGTAGGAAATGCATGGGGGGGCAAGTCAAAATATTATTGGTTGCCTTAAACAGAATGCTCCTCACCGTATATATGATGCCAATCTAACTGTGCTTCCCGTTCTCCAAGACATCTCCAAGACATCCACTGTACAGGTATGTAAGATATCCACTCTAAGATATCCCAAGGATGCGAGGCGCTCCATGCGCGCTACGTCACTAAGTGAAGCGAATTAGAGATCAGAATATACCGAGTATGTAGCACCTAGCACACACTGGGAGACTGGGCACATCGCATAACATCCTGGTTAATCCGATCCTACTCACCTACCTAGAAGTAGCTATAGGTAGATTAATGTTAAGTACACAGTGCTGAACGGCAGGTACATAACTCACGGGTACCGAGCCGTGCCGTGAGAAGTTACGTATGAGGCAGGTATGGAGTGCGTAGTGCTTCTCACGTCTTATCACTACCCTGAAATCGTCAATATCTTTCAAGCATCGCCTAGGTATCTTGTATATGGAGAGTTCGATAACGAACACCGACGCATTCATTCTTACATTCATTCGTATACTAGGTTCTTGCCAAATAAGATTGGTATTTGAAGATGCGTTTTCTATGTCTTCATGGGTCAGGAACCAATTCGCAGGTAAGTCGCGTTTTGACGGCACTTTGGCAGCGTGTTCATTAATAATTACTCAGATTCTTGAGACCCAGACTGGTTAGTTTCCAATAGATATACAAAGCCTTAAGAGTTGCTCTCGAAGACTAATATATCGGATACGAAGCTGCTCTTAGGTATGAGTTGGGGGATCACCATACGTATGACTTTGTGGAGGGCACGATACCAAGCGCAGTGGCCCCCGAATTTGATGGATTAGTTTCTTCGAAAGACGAATTCTTCTCCTATCTTGATCTAGATGATCGAGCAAACTATCTATCAATACTGGAAGATCTCGATAATTATATCTCCGAAGAAGGCCCGTTCGACGCTGTTTTGGCCTTTTCCGAAGGAGCTATGATTGCAGCCACCTATATCATTTGGAAGGCAAAGCAAACCCCCAAGCAACAACGAATGGCCCCCATCTTCAAGTGTGCGGTATTCTTTTCAGCATGGGATGCCTACGATCCTGATCTTCTCTCAGAAGGAGTCCTTCGCCCTTTGAACCCGTCGGCTGACAGGGACTTAATTCGTATGCCCACGGCCCACATATGGGGAGTAGGCGATGCTTCGTCCACCAAAGCCTCTAATGTGAGTGAGATCTGTGTTTCGGAAACGAGACAAGTCTATGTTCATCCCGGAAGCCACGAAATTCCGGGAGCTAGGATGAGCTCTGCCGTGAAGTCGAGTGTCAGAATTATCCGTAGGGTCATTTCACTGGTTAGAGAGATTGATAATCAGGCTCTTCGGATGGTAGAACGAAAGAATTAGGTCAATAATACTTTACAATCTTAACGACCCCAAATGAAAGAAGTGGTACACTTTGTAGTTAATACGACAACCTATTGCCCGCAATGAGACTGAAACTTAGCCATCCCCAAAACATCGTGGGCTCACTCAACCCTGATCGGATTCCTTCTCCACATCAGTGCTATACTGAGAACAGATGTAACTGCAAATCCAAGTACAATATGCATTTCGAGATTGAAACCCTTAACAAATGTGCTTCTTACGGCGGGCTGTAAACTTTCCGGAAGCTGATAAATTGAGGATGTCGACTGAAAAACTTGGTCGATTTGTGAAGACGTCAACGAGCTGGATAATTGGCCTTTTACCCACCCATTACCAACTGCGGTAGTGATAGAAACTACAAAAGCACTTCCGAGGAAGCGAAATTGAGTGCCAGCTGCCGATGCGACCGCTGTTGTTTAATGCTTAGCCTTATCACTATATTCCTAGTAGTTGAAGTCGATACACTTACCTAAGTCCCTTTTCTCCGCCACATAGGGTGTTAGCAGTGTTACTATTCCTATGCTAATACCCATTCCTAGACCGGTTAGGACTTCGAGCCCATACAGAGGCTTCCAGTCGGGATTATCTGCAGGGCCTCGGGACATAAAAATGAGCCCTAACATCTGCAATATCGACGCAGCGAGAGCCAAGTACAACGGGGGGACGCGTCGTTTCTTTGAAATTGAGGCAGTAAGAATGACACCGAGAGGACCGCATAGTACGAAAGGTAGCAACCTTACGCCAGCTTGCAGTGGACTAGCTCCTACTGATGTCTGGTACCGAATAGGAAGTTGAATAATACATGTTATGCTGACTGACCCAGTCATAAAAGAGTTCCTTCAATGGTCGGATTAATAATGCTTGAACCTAGCGGCTAGAAGGGCGTGATGACTTACACTAGAAGGCCCATCATCTCTCTGTCTTGACAGAACCGCCAAGGGAATACCGGCTCTACTGAACTTGTAGGACGGGTAAAGTACCATTGGCTAGCGAAGAATGCTACCCATACGACGACGGAAACACAAATCGGAACAATTACAGTAGCAGATGTCCAATATAATAATGTGGCAGCTTGTTCAAGTCCGCTGATAAGTAAAGCTAATGCTGTAAGCATGAGAAACGCTCCGGTGAAGTCGAGAGTTCTGAACTTGAGCTGTGGCTTTCTTCGGAGAAGCCCTTGATACGGGAAGTTGTTCGGAACCACAAAAAAAACCACAATTGCTGCCACAACTCCTGAGGGAACACTTGGTGGACGTCAATATCTAAGAGGATTCATTCATAATTTATTCAACTTACTTGAGGAGAAAAACCCAGCGCCATGTGGTTCCTTGAGATATTAGGCCGCCAAAGATAGGCCCCAGAGCGTTTCCAAGTGCAGCTGCACCAGCTGAGACAGACGTCACCTGGGCGTACTTTTCCGGAGGTTTTAGTTCGTAAAGCATGACAATGGCCACTGCGTAGACGCCTCCAGCTCCGAGGCCTTGGAAAGCGCGGCAAACAATTCTGATATATGTTAAACAGATATACGAGGGGAAAAGGGATAATCGGGATGGGGAATACTGACAATTGAACCATAGTCTGAGCTGCACCGCACCCTCCAGCAAACGCGCTGAAGGTGATCAAAGAAGCCATATAGGCCTGCTTCCGCCCTATGTGGTCACTTACTTTCGCCCATATCACCAGTCCAGCTAAAAGCCTAGTTAGATGCCAGCATATCAAGAAATAGGGAGCGCGTATTCCCTCTTACTAGTGTAAGTTATCAAATACGCTGTGACAACCCAGCTTGCTTTTACAAAGTCGTGGAGATCGTTGGTGATGGATACAAGGGCAGTACCAATGATTGTAAGCTCGAGGTTCACGAGGAAAAGTGCAAGACCTAACCTGTATAGCTACCTGTTAGTAGGGAATTTCCTTAAAACAATTGTATAGTCAACATACGCTGTCATGGTAACATGCGATTTCCATCCAGACATATAGTTAAATGTAGCATCTTGCTTTGCTTGGATATCAGTCTCCATCATTTCGATTTGGGACCTGTCGACCCATTCATCCATTACTGGATGCTTGGAACCGGCTTCGACTGAAGCATCAGTCGAACTCATTGTAGCGATCCTTGACGCACTCTTGGCGATTGAATTTGGTAACAGAATGATGGAAATCGATAACTAGCGAGTTTTCTATCGGGATACTAAGGCCATGGAGACAGCCAAGGAATTTAGAAGTTTATGTAAATGGCATGGTGGAAACCCTCTGTCGAAGGGGATAAAGAAGCAAACTGCAGTGCACCAACACCAACTTCCGACGCCACCTGCCAGGGACTACTTACTCCAAAGGAAAGAAGACTAACAGTGCAAAGAGACTGTGTCACCGTGTATTAACCAATAAAAACTCTCCAATAGCACCGCCAAAAGGAGGATGGGGGCCAAAAGGTAAAACTCCTATTTATGGATGTAGTCAGACATATTGCTATCACTAATCAACAATGATCGGCAACATGTCGACATGTCGGCTGCTAACCGGTCGCATTCCAAACAGTGAAATTTCAGACACAGCGGCCCGGAAACCATATGACTGGTCGGTTCGGCACCTAATAAGACCCGAGGGGTATCATACATCACTCTGTGTGTGACCACATCCATGTGTAGTTGCAGTGTTGGTGCGAGGGGCCGTTTACTAGGATGTAGGTCTACTACTATGTACCTAAGTACCTAGGTAGGTATGTACAAACGCCGTGGCTGTAATCGTGGAACATATAGAGGGAACCTCTGGCTTTAAAAAAGGATTGGTTCTGTTGGTGTAACCTTTATTATGATAATTGGGTCAGGCTGTAAAGATGATATTGAAAAATGCAACCCTGTTGGATTTAGTTGTAAAGGTCGTATATGCATCATTCCATACCGCGTTTACCACATTGCATTATGCAACTCTTACCTACATCTACCTACCTCCTACCTAGGTAGGTTAGGTTAGGAGGTAGGTACGTTAAATACCTGATACGCACATATCCGAGACACATGACCAGCAAACCAATCGCGTGAGATTTATTAAATGCATCTGTTTTTCTGTTTTTTTTTTCTAGCCGCCAGCCTTATCTATTTTAGGAGGTGATGAAAGACATTGGGAGGTGAAAAGAGTTGCGGGGGCTTGGCACACATTCAATTATCTGGAACACATCACATCAGCATTCAAAGCGTAGAGGTTCATAGCGCGTCTTGAAGCATTTTCATTGAACTCGTTTCATTTAGCTCGCGTTCGTATTGAAATCGCCCCAAGATGGAAAAAATATGGATTAGGTACCTACACCTAACTTAGTATTAATTTAGAATTTGTAATTCCACAATCATACCCTACTTTCCCGGACGCCAGGCAGCCATCCGTACTGGTTGCTCCATCTATCTTTACGAGGACTGTTATCGTAGGTTTCCGTGACTGTGATGTCAGTTGTACATACAATGCCATACTGTCGATCCGTAGGCCTCGAAGACTCAATACCTCGGAGGTTTATGGAATTGGGCTCATCAATCGACTGGTATCTGCGAGGCTTTTGTAATCCAAAACCCGTAGGAGGCCATGTATTTTGCACACTCCTGGTAGAACGCTTGATCTTGCTGATCGGAAGGTTCAGCCATTTGATAATCGACGGAATGCGTTTACTGAGTTCTAAGCCCCTGAATACTTTTGGGACCACGGGCACGCAAAATATTAGCATGCCACAAGTTGACTCGGCAATAGCCCAGAGCGCCACAGCGGAGTAATGATAAGTCATATCATCCGACTTAATCCATTCAACAATAGCCTCTAGAAGGCAACAAGCGGCAATGCAGGCACTATATTACTCGCTTGTGTCAGCCATAGAATCTCGTGAACTTCAGGAATTAATTTGAACTTACAACACACCCACGGCGAACACAGCAGAAATCCCAACCTTCTTAATAGTTGATAACTTAAGTCTCCATATAGTCCGCTGAGGTAGTAGCAAGACAGCTATGTCGAGTATGAAGTTAATGACAGTGGCCACAAGATTAATGACTTTGAGGTTGGCACAAGTTCCAGGTACGGTCTTATCCCATATTCTTCGATAGGGGAAGCATGACAGGTTAAGTGCAACCAGCATACACGTGTAGAAGATGGCGCTGAATATAAGTAAAGCCTTGCAGCTCCGATGGAAGATCGTTCGTGAATCGGTCGGAGCGAATATGCGTATCCACTCAATAAGGATCGAAGACTTGACCAGACCCATCGTGACAACCCAGAAGCACATCCCCATAAATATTATCTAAAAATCTTAGGACAATACCATAAAAGGCGTGTATGTTGCGGTATACCTGAAGATATTGGGCCATATCCCTTCCGCGCATTTCCCATTGATGGACGAAGAGGCCTGTAGACTGCGAAATTCGACGCAGAGACCCGACAATCACAACCACCCAGAATAACTAAAACAGCTTTAGTTAACTTGGCTTGCAAAGTGATTGGACGAAGTAATTCCCTACGTAAGCTAATAACATCAAATCTTGACAAATTAGTTATACTTCAGGTAGATCGGTACCAATTCAAAGAGCCAGCGCAACTTACAATCTGCGACATGTATTTGCCTTAGTTTGAAATACCCGACATAGAACCTAAACGCAAGCGAGGTCGATGCAACTACCAAACAGAGAATGAGCGCAACTAAAGAGATAGTGTTCTTGTTTTGTGGGTTTGCGAAATTCGGAATGATGCCCGCTGGTACTTGAAGGGCTGGGCCATTGAGTACGTTACTGAGCTCGTTCGGTGACAGGCTAGAAAAGTCAAGATCGGACATCTTGACCTGATAGACGGTAGTGACAGCAGTAGGAGGTTAAGGTGTAAGACTACAATGATGAGAATAAGACCGAATATAGATCTCTTGTTTTTTTGCAGTCCCTGCGCTCCTATTTAGTATATTAGGCTAAGACTGCAAGTTGTACCCGTGCCTCGCTTGGTGAAGTGTTGGTGAAGGAACCGCCCTGAAAAGACGAAATATCTGATGTTGCTATTCAGTATTGGGGTACATGTAAGCCGTATTGATCGACAGCAGCCGAGGCGCACCACCCGCGAATCGGCATCGGTCAGCTTTGGGTCGCACCCAAAGGTTACTTTGCGTATGTTTTCTACACATCTCTTTTTATTTTCTATTGTTATGTCATTTTTCTCTTTCAATATCAGAAGAGATCATACGAATAGTTCACATGCTTGGATGCTTTAAATCTATATATTTTCGAGCTGCTATGAGAAGTTGAATATCTTGAATGCTTCACCACATTGAGGAGGCAAGCGACGGCCAGTTCGGTCAGTGTATGGATCACATAACAACCAAAGACAATAAAACCTATTGAACTCGGTACAAATTAGTTAGATAGACACTAGGTATCTGCATTATGTCCTGTAATGGTACAAAAAGGTATGGAATATTACCGAGATAAGCAAGGACTCGCCGCTTTGCTTATCATCTCGAATCGGTGTACTACCTCCTACCTAACCTAGGTAAAGCCTATTTCTTTTATATAATATCATACGAATAAGCTTTATTGTATTCTATAATGGAGTTTAGGTATAAAGCTGGTCTTATATTTCGATAGTGGTTGCTGGCTTACCATCTGTACCAGGTAGGTAAGTACATTCATCTGCTGTGGCCATTATGTACCTACACCTTACCTGCCTTTTGGTAATAAAAAAAAAACTTGATTTAAAACATGGCGTGCGTGGGGGGTGTATTTGTGTGTATGTGAAGGCTTTGCGGTACGCTTCTATTGGATGATATCCAATAAGGCTGAAATCCTTCGCTCACAATTAACCTTAAGATTAGAGATTAGCCACAACGAAGTACAGCATATGACATGCAAGTAACCTAGAAAAGTATCCTAGAAAAGAAAAACTGCGTGTTATCTCCATGTCTTTGAATTATTCGGTTTACGTAGGTATGTATTTCATGTAGTATTTTGACTATGAGTTCCCTGTTAGATGCGTCAGTTAGTCAATTCGAAAGTCCCAACATGAAGTAGACGATCCAAGGTTTAGGTACCTACCTATTCTCTTGCTAATAGGTACCTGAGGTTAGGTACATAGCAAATACATAAATGAGGCTCTGCGGCCCCTTCCTCAGCGGGGTAGTACTTTAACAGAGGTAATTTGTGAAGGTTTCTCTTAGTGTTGGCACTGTACGTTACAGCGCAGCTCTGAGCTATATGCGGCTTTACAATGTCCTAGCGTCTTGACTGGGGGTACCTTTCAAGTATTCGCCTAACTAAAGTAGGTTTAGCTAGGTACTTTCGGAGGTACTTACCTTGTAAATGCCTCCGAATCTATATGCCACCCCGCCCATTGGGCCGACTACTCCGCCTATAGCATATTATTATTTGCATGTTATAAGCACGAATGCATCTGCAGTCGCAATGTGCTACCTTATTGCGTAATGATTGGCAATTATGTACCATGTACTATGTACTTCATTTATCTTCATGCTATGTAGGTATAAGTCTACGGTTTCATTATTGCATGAGGTCAGATTTGCGTTGGCTGTTACTGCAACCCATACAACCTTGTTGCGCGCTCATTTCCCCCAACGAGAGGTTTCTAAGGTTAGGTACCTTAGGTGTACCTGTGAGCTCTGCACTAATTTGCTCCGACTATCGTTGGTGCTTTATTCGTAATGCCAACGAGTTTCCATTATGATTCACTGGTAAGAGTCGTACGACTTATACCCTGAAAGAAATGTAGTAGATAGATAGATAGATAGGTGGAAGAGCTGAAAATGCTTCATATTTCAACATTGGTGGACTAGGTAATTTACTATTGTGTTTTACATGCGGCGTGCAAAAAATGATATGCTATTCATATTGCTCTGGTTCATGGGACTATCTTAGAGTTTCTTGTGGAATAACGGAATTGCTTCTCCGACTCTTGCTTTATCTCGTAGTATCTCCTTAACGTAGCTCTAAAGATACTGGGGTTTAATCTTACCAACACAACAACTAGTTTACCTACCTAGGTAGGTACCTAATGCGTTATTCCTATAGTCTTTTGTAACAAAAGAGTGAGAATAACTAATTTCGGTTAAATAGAGCGTGAAATGTAATACGAGATCATAAGAATCGTCAGTGGATTGAGTATACGACGCCTTGAATCATCTGCAAGGCTTAGACAATGTAATTGATGCTGTGTTAGCAGTTTGAACCTAGAGGATTCAGACAGTGAGCATACCGTTAAGGTAGGTAGCTATCGCATATAGCGAGAAAATTACAGTTATACCAATCATTTAATTCCTCCCCACCTGCAGACTGAGCCCCTGGGGTCATGTATCATACTGTTATAAGATACTAAGTCTTGCGTCTGATGGGAATAGGTCTAGATCATCAATCATGCTTAAACCTGGTCATGAAACGACGGCCCGAACTTATTAAGACGAAAGATATCCTCCGGCAACTTCCCCGTTCAAGGATCTTGTGAATCTCTGTTGGTTCTAACTCCAATGTTATTGAGACAGTTTTCTCAAGACCGACCTGGGTTTAACAAGTAGGGCATAGCTTCCTTGTAGCTATGCCACGAAGTCTTTGATTAGACGAGTAAGAAAATACCTCTAGCCCCTATCTTGCCCCTATCTTGCTTGTACCTAAAATGTACATATCATGTCAAAGTCGCCAAAGAGGCAGGTATCTAGTTGTAGAGGAGCCGTATATCACCACAAAAAGAATTCCTATCTAGGTAGGTAGGTACCTATATCCAGGATGCATTGGGTCTTATAGACGTCGAATACCTGTATAAGCTTTATGTAAGCATTCGTTTGGCCAAAACAAAGTTACCTACTCCTTTCTCGTCGAATATTAGCTCGTCATGCTGTGTGTGCAGTTGTCGTAAATACTTACCTTAGGTACGTACTCGTCGTGTCTTGACAATCGAGCTTTAGGTTCCCTGCAATCAATTATTTCTCGATTAGACTCATAGATAACTTTGAATGATTAACAAACTCGACTTTCTCTTACTGAGGCGACTTCATTGATGTTAGTTTCAAAAGGATGCGACTGTACATACTGGAGTTACTGTAAAAGCAATCTGTAAATAAGATATTTCTAGTGTGAATTCCTAATAATGGAATGGTTCTTGACAAAAGAAGTAATATCATGCTAATTGCCGTAAGATAGCGAATCTAACGATGCAAATATTTTGTACAGATATTGGGGCTTGATTAGGGTGTTGCAATCTGCAAGAGAAACTGTCAGGAGTCTTACTTGAGACTTCTTGGGGACAAAGAAGATGCTCTTATACAGGTAGGTAGCTTTGACTTCAAAGCTATCTTAATTGGAGTTCCTCGCGGAACAACTGAGTTGTTTCCCTTGCCAAATAGTCTACGACGTGGCAGAAACTAATCTATAAACAAGGTTGAATGAGAACTAGTTAGAACAGCGAAGCTTTTAATAATGTATGAAATAATAGATAGGCTTGACTAACGTAATCGAAGGAATCTAATTATGTGATAATCACATATAAATATTGCTTTTTGAGCGGGATATTATTGATTGTCAAAAGGCGGTCTAGAATGAGGCTTCTGTTTTCAACAACCTAATCGGTTTATTTTCTATTATTGTTTTGTCGTTCAACCACACCATAAAACATCGAAATATGATCGGCTATGGTAGGTACCTACCTAGCCAATAGGTATTTCAAAGACTTTTAAGGGAGTGGTAAGATTGAATGGTAATCTAGGTAGAAGGATTGGCTATGAGATTAATCTACATGGCATCGCTGTTACTGAAAATTCCTGATCAGAAGCTTCGTATATGTAACTCGGCTGACTTTATTCCATTCAATATACTGAATTTATAAATTACGTATCTGTTCGTGTTTATTATGTAAGAAAGAACGGTACAACCTTTTGACACTTACCTTGGATGAACTGTATTATCCCTTACTTTAGATCTCGCTATAGGATGAGAGGTTGATGACTGGACTAGGTACCTGCCTAGCCCTTTGTGATGTCTATAAAAACTTTTGTCATTAAGTCTAAGGAAGTTTTGTAAGCTTTACTATCCCATCTACAGACGTGTTAGATACTTCTTATAATTTGGAATAGTCGGGACCCCAGTGACACGATCCCGACTTACCTACCAGAGAACAAGCACCTCCCTTAGGTGTTCAGACCGTAGTTTCCTTCTTCCATATCTCTTCGATATGTCGTAGACTACTGACCTATATACCGAGAACGCTAAGGGCTACTCCATCGCTTTCCGAGCGTGTTTTGATTATGGCGGCGATCCGGACATGTCGCAAGAAACCTAAGAGGATGCGAATGAGAACGGATATAGGTAGGTATTTACCTGTACGTACCTAGTATACGACAGAAATATAGTAGCCAATATCTTCTAGAAAAGCGACAAGTGTCTATAGACGTCTTAATGGAAATAGTGAGCTTATTCATTGTTATTAAAATATGGGCGGACCTAATACCAGGTATTCTGAAAAGCCCTCATCTTCAGTCAATACTCGTTAGGATTATGGAATATAGTTTAGGTAGTTATCTTAGGTTAGGTACTTGTCATTATTCTCGCCAGTATCGCGTTTACTGAGTACTTGCAAGGTAAGTACCTAGGTACATAACAATTCAATACTTCTTTTAAATTACCAGGATCGGTTGAATATCTCCTGTTGATGCACTTGAAGAATTCTCGTATATTACCAATACTTCTAGGACAAGTAGTATTTGTCACAAGGTGGAACAAAACGTACCTAGGGAAACAACTTCCTTGTTCCACAAGGAGCTTTAATTTAGATAGTTCTACTATATATACAAACATTCCTTTGTTCTACATCATTGTCTCATGTAGATCCTCTGACAGTATTGATGTGAATGCGGGATATATATCAGCTGAGTGATGGTATTCCCCTACACTTGTCATACAAAGTGAAAGAGCTAACGATTCTCAGCAAAAAGATTAAATCTGATAATTTATCACGTATTTGAGTAACATTTGTGATGCACTATTTGAATAGTTGCGATTTAGTTTCTGTTGCAGTTTCGGTACTTATCTACCTTAATGCATCATGTGTCACATATCAGTTGTGCTTACGTATTGTATATGTTGCTACGAGCTAAAGGGGACATTAGAAGTCATATGAAAATACAGAATGCTGTGCTAGTTACATGGAAAGTAGTTTACCTATAACGACGCTCGGCTAGTTGGTCATCACAGAGAGCTTCTTATGAGCTTCGCACACCGCAACATTACCTAATGTATACAAACAGCTCGTTGCTATTGTAATATGTTTGGCATATGCATCTCGGATGCTGTGACTGTGTAGTCTATTTTGGTGTTACACGGACTATATCTCCCCGTTTTTCGATATCTACCGGTCACATAGGTGGAGTATAATGCAATCCCCTTACCAAATTTGTTTTCTTGAAGTTTTAGTAATCATACGTGGATAACAATCCAATGAATATATTCCAGCGGGGATGTGGACGTGTATGAAGAGTCATATAAGAGTCATATGAAGGATCCATAGGATCTCACGATCCGTACCTGGGTAGGTATTCACTAACCATTATTTCGATGGAGACTAATTATCTAATAAGCTTCCGGGATAGTTACCAAATCCTACCTAGTCTCCATGTTCGCTTTCGCTTACACATTGCCGCCTTTTACATGGGAGCTGATCCTGCATAGTTTAGTACTTAAGCTTCCATGACTTCCGAGATAAAACTCTATATCTTACCAATACTCTCTTCGTCACAACTCTTGAGAACAGGGCATAATGGCTTCTAAACCCGCGATTGTGAGTAAAAGATCCATCATACTACTTAGGTGCTCTGATATGCCCCCACAGAAGCTAATTCGTTCTAGTTCGTTATAATTCTGGCGGCTCTTTTGCCAACCTTCTATAACTTAGGACAGAAATTAGTGTTGATGTACAATAATGCGCCTAGTCGGTTTATAAGCATCAATAACCTCAAGTCATCTGAGGTAAAGTTCTCAGACACCTTTAGAAGCTGCGAAGATATCCTACTTGTCGAGTCCAAAGGCATCGCTATTTTTTCTTGTGACGCTGGACGGGAAACATGGAACACGGTAATGGTAAGTCTTGTCATCTAAATCGTGCATGATTCGTTCCTCAATATTGATGTGATATGGGAAACCTTGAATACACTCATTTGGTATTCGCATGCTTAGCTTTGACAGGGCATCTTCATTCCCGGACCGGTACCTAATGCCGAGATTTATGCTTACAGCTATGGGAATGCCAATACCCCAGACTCAGAGTCATTGACTCGTTTTAAAATTCAGGGGTACAACTCTAGCTTGGATTTTCATACTATAGGCTTAGCTTACGACGAGGAAACATCCACTCTCTTCGTTACAAACCATCGTAAAGAGGGTAAGAGCATCGAATTGTTTAAGCTGGATTTTGACACGTTCACCGCCAATCACTTCCGAACGATCCAACATCCGCTTTTTCGTAGCCCGAATTCAATAGCTCTCCTCAACAGCCATCAGTTTCTTGTCACAAACGACCACCACTTCCTCATGGAAAACTCTCGCTTTCTGTCTATGGCCGAGACTCTCCTGGGCCTCCCCCTCTCTACTGTCCTACACGTCGATATATCCTCCCTCTTGGAGGACCCCGCCTCGCCCACTAGGGTTAATATCGTTGCTCGTCTCCCCTTCGCTAACGGCATTGAGATTGTAAATGAGACCACCGTGGCTGTAGCCTCGACGACCAGCACCGCGGTGTATTTCTACGATATGACAAAACCAGATTCAATCAATACGACCTTGCCTACGCTAACTTATAAATCGAAGGTCAGCTTCCCTTTTTGGGTTGACAATATTCAATTCTCGGGAGACGGAACACTATACGCCGCTGGTCACCCCCATCCCGCAACGCTGAATGAGTACGCTCTTTCCCGCCACGAGTGTAGCTCGCCTGAGAAACTAGCAGCTGCGGATGAATCGCTCCAGAAGTACTGTAGGAATGTAAAGGGCCTTTCTGGGGTCTCCAAATGGACTGAGTCGGGGGGCGTCGAGCGCGTTTACTTCGATGACAAATTTCCCACCAGCACGACAGCGGCGTTTGACTCCAAGAGGAAAATCGGAATTATCACAGGTCTATATACTAAGGGACTTCTCGTGTGGAGAGAATAAATAGTGTGAAATTTACCTGTAGGATAAAGGGGAATCATAGACGCTCTGGAGAATTGGGTACCTATTCTTAAGGGTTGATCTTACAGGGGTATACTATATAGATTTAGACCATAAAACGTGAAATCACTGCTATCTCTGCTATAACAAATCTATCTTAGGTACCTCTCCTAGTCGCTAAGGCACTTGGAGTTATTGGTTTCATGATATCCAAATTTTGGCATGCTTCTTAGTACCTACTGACTTAGGGATACTGACCCAGAGTTCTAATTTCAGGGAGTCTTAAAAATACCGTTACTGACCAACTTGTGCAGTTACTGCTTATGACAGATATGAGTGATATGACCTCTTTGTCCATAGTGGCCGAGAGATGTTCTACCTCAACGATACCTACATAAAAAACCACTTTTGTCACAGAATTGATATGAGTGTTATTCAACATGTTAGGTACTAGGCTTCGTCATATACTGATTGAGTCTTGACACTGACAATGGCAATTGAGCTATCAACTCAGTTCCGTATCGTACTAGATAGACACTTAGTGATTCTAGTACAGACATTTCTTATGGATGATGTGTAAAGGTGAAATAATATATTCCAGCTTCAGAGGGACTCATGGTGCATGGTTGCGACACGTAGCCGTACAGTCCCTCTTTGTACGATACAATAATTCGCTGAAGCATCGACTTCCCAAGATCCCTAAATATTTATTTAAGAAAGCGCGCCGTTTGGATCGATGTTCTCTCAATACCAAATAGTTCGCAGATATCCCATCACTTAACCCCCCTTAAGCAACAATATTACCTAATCTACTGAGAAGCTCTGGCCGCCAACTTACAGTAATCATTAAAATGGCTCTCGATGAGTTGCCAGCTAAGCAGGACGACAACCCGGCGAGTTCATCAAATTTCGACTCGAATACGGAAAACAAGCCTAGATGGTTTATCACCCGTGTCTCGGCAAAACATGCTGCTTCTAGGGGCCTGTGGAAGATCCTCGAGAGCAGCGTTCCGGGTATATATTCTATGAAGGTATGATATCAAGAATTTATTGTCCATCGTTCTGGGAGTTCAAATTTAACGTTCCAAAGTTATCAAGAGGCAAATTCATCGTTAAGGTAAGGGTCGCCAAGCCCCGACCAAGCCGGGGATACACCGTGCCCACCCTCGTCAGCGAACGAAGCACTGCCGGAAAGCCAACAACTTAGGACATTGCTTCGCAGAATAGAGTTAGAATCCGGTGCACATATGGGTCCTAACATATCATATATGTACCAAGCCCGGTAGACCTTCCTCAAAACAGGAAATTGGGGTTGGAAAAGCATAGTTTGGATTCACCTAGAAGAAAACAAACCATTTTTGTTGAGATTACCTAGCTATTCGTTTTGATAGGGTGCTCAAGCATTTCTCTACGGAAAAAACTGTATCAACCAATAATTTAATTGCAATGGAGTGTGAAAGATTCTGGTTTAGAAAGGCTCCAGAGGAGATAAGATATACCTCTAACGGTCTCGTATTAAGGAAATTCCAACTTTCAAACTTATTAATTACGGCTAACCTTCGGCCACGCTTGTGCTATAAAGTGATAAGAAGTAACTAGAAAAATGCCCGCATGAGTATTAACCGCTTGTCGCATTAAACACCATCTTGTCTTTTTGGGCTTTGCGAAAGACGTCCTGCATATGGGAATATAATGTTTGTTCCACCCCTTCCTTATTAAATATAATTCTTCGTAACTTATTAACCTAAAGTATTAAAGGTTTATAATAAGGTGTAAAATTATTATTAATTATTTTTATAAAAATCCTTTTATTTAAAATATAATTTAATTTTAATATTATTAAAATGGTTAAATTTATATAATTTCATTTATGAAATTTAAAAATAATTTTATTATTATTTAATTTATTATATGTTACGAACTAATAGCACGGGAACTATACCTTATATGGAAGCGGGGATTTTGAAACATACGATCAGAAAAACGGGTAAACCTTGGTAAACCTATAAAAGGGTAATAATTTTAATAATCTTAATAATCTGGTAAAATCACTAAGATTATTAAAATTATAAAAACTTTAAAGCAAAAGTAAAGGAAATTTATAAGATATTTAAATTATTATATATTTAATTATTTATTTATGTTTTTTTAATTATTAATTTAAATCTTATATTTAATTTATATAAAAAGAAAAACTTTAAACTTTTTTAATAAATATTTTTAACATTTTATTAATATTTAATTTATATTATTACTATTTATTTAAAATTAAACCTTTTATTATTATATTTTAATAACTTTTTAATTAATATTGTTATTAATTAAATGTAATATAAATATTAATTTTAATAATAATATTTTTTTATTTATTTAAATTAATTATAATTTATTTATTTGAAAATATTTATTAGATAAGTCTTTTAAAAATTAACTTTTAATAAAAATTAATTAAATAAAATAATGTAACGAACTTAATATATTATTTCTTAATTATATTTTAAAATTAATTAATAATATGGTTTTAACAGAAATTAGGTTTTAAGTAAGATTATTTAAGGAAAAAGTAAGAAAAATTATTAAAATTATTAATAAGGGAAAAAGGAAAGCTTAAATTAAGGAAAATAAAATAAACTTTATAAAAAAAGGATTTTAAAGAGCGTACAAAGCTTATTAAGCACTTAAAAACAAAATAAATACTCTAAAAAAAGAATTAATTAAATTTAAAATTAAAAAGGATAATAATAACGATAATAACGAAAATTTTAATTTATATCCGGTATAATAAAACCTTATGGTTTTATTATTATTAAATAAAAAATTTAGATCCTTTTCACCATTTAAATATAATAGTATTACAGATATAAAAATTTGGCTTAATATAGTTAAACTTTATTTAATTTTTTTTCAAATTAATTTTAATAAAAATAAATATAAGGTCTTAACAGTATATTAACATTTTAAAGGCGGCACTTTCGAATAGCTTTAACTTATTATAAATAATTATTTAAATGAAACTTAAAAAAACATAAAAGAATTTAAATACGTTTTTAACAAATATTTTAATTTCGAAAATAAGATATAATTAATATTTAAAAATCTATTTAAAAAAGAAAATACTTATAAAGTTATTTAAAACTTTAAATAAATTAAAAAAACTTTAAAATATATTATTAAATTTAAATAATTAGTAATAATAGTTTAATTACCTGAAGATACTTAATTTAATTATTTTTATAAAGGATTAATTATATAAGTTAAAAATAAAATTTTTTTAAAAAAAAGCTTAAATATATTAATAAATATATTAAGTGCGTTATTATATATAATAAAAAATTATATAAAAGGTTTTAAAAGAAAAAGATTAAGAAACTTATTTTTATTTGCATTAAAAAAGAATTTAAAAAAATAAGCTTTAATGCTATTAAAATGGAAAAACTTAAGAAAAATATAATTAAAATTAAATATTATAATTACAATAAAATAAGATATATATTTAAAAATTATAAAGCATTTTAAAAATAATTTAAAATATTAAAAAAACAATTTAAATCCCGAGCAGTAAAAGTAATATTTGTGACGAACTTACACTTAAGTTCGTTAGAGTGTAATAACAGGGGTCTTAATTTTAAGTAAATAGTAATAATATGGGTTAAGTGTTAATAAAATATTAATAATGTTTATTAAAAAAAGCTTAAAGTCCTTTTCTTTATATAAGTTAAATATAAGATTTAGATTAATAATTAAAGAAATATAAATAAGTATTTAAATATATAATAGTTTTAAATATCTTATAAATCTTTTTTATTTTTTAAGGTTATTATAGTCCTTAATGATTTTATTAATTTTAATAATCTTATAAAATTATTAGGATTATTAGGATTATTTCCTTTTAATATATTTTATTTATAGTTTATCTGTTCTTAAGATCGTACGTTTTAAGATCTCCGTTTTTATATAAAGTATAATTTTTATACTGTTAATTTATAATATTATTTTCTTTTTTTTAAGTTTTTTACCTTTAAAGATTTATCGGTAAACGCGTTTTTAATATAGTTTCTTTTCTTTTTCTTATATTTTTCTGTGCTAATTTATTAAAATATTAAATTACATATTTAAATTTATTTCGAAGCGAAAAAGCTATGTTAATTAACGGGAAAATAAAGAATTTCGTATTTTTTATATTAAATTAACTAATATTGCCCTTATTTTATATTCGAACTATAAGCGTTTTGGCGAATTTTTTTATATTTTTGTTTTTAATTTGTTTAATTATAATATTTATACTTATAAATATAATTATTTTAATTATAACGTTTTAAAAATGAATTTTTTTAATAAGTTAAAAAGAAAAATTAAATTTTATAAAAATAAATATTATAGAATTAAAAATAAGATATTTTAATATTAAAAGGATTTATTGCGGCTTATTTTTCATTTAAAAGAAATTCGGGCTAAAGAGGAGGAGGTTAAAGATAAAGCCTTTTATATCTTTTAACGTAAAGAAGAGTTAAATTATAAAAAAGAAAAAGAAAAAAAAGGTAAAAGTTAAAATATTTTTAATCGGGCTGATCCATTTATACTACCTAATTCTTCTAAAGGTAACCCCGTTAAAGCTATTATTTTTTAAAATAGTTTTAACTTAAAGATGAATTTATTATTATTTATAAGTAATTAAGATTTTCTCGGTAAAACGTTTTTATAAATTCTTAAACGTTTTTAAAATATTTAATTAATTTTTATATATTTTCCTTTAATAAATAATCCTTCTATTTAATTAAATATTTAATTTAATTTTTAAATTATTTAAAATTTAATACCCTTTCGATTTTATATTTTTAATCGGTTTTAACGTTTAAAATAATTTATATTAATACATTTTCAGGTACTTTTTCTAATAAAGAAATATAAAATATTAAATATAATTTCGTTTTTACTAATAATAATAATTTATAATTAATTTTTAAAATAACTTTTTTAATTTTAAATAATTTAAGTTTTTTATAATTTAATTTATTACTTAATTTTTTAGTTTTAATATTTTATTATAATAAATAAACTTTATTTCTTTTTTTAAAGATTAATCCTTTAATTTTATATTAATTATTATATTTTTTCATTTTTATTTATAAGAATTTAAGTTTATTTATTAAATATCTTTACGTAA